GTTAGGGCCACATACGCACGATTATCTCGAGACCCTACGTGCTAATGAGCGCCACCAATGAATGTCTGGGCAGGGTAATATAACTGTAACAAGGGAAGTAAACATTTACTTGCAAAACCCCCCCCCCCGGTAAACACCTACTGGGTTGTTGGTTGGTATTCGGGAGGTGTTATTAACTTGTGTTTGGTATAAAAACTAATGCCCGAGAATGGGAATACACATGGCAGGTAGGCAAACCTTGGTTCATTCGAGGTGAACTGATTCATCCCAGGCGGAAGTTGGGCCATTCTAGTTAACTAGCCTGCCCCGGGCCCTGCCATCCAAGGGTCATGCCGTCATGCCTTATATGTCTTGACTTTCTCCGCACTGCCTGGGCTTGGTCATTCACGAATGCCTATTGCCAAGCCAAATGTGGGTGAGAGTGCGTGTGGGCCTTGCATCACTCCCCCCCCCTGCTGCACATGCGCTCTCCATACGGTGCAAACAATCGCCTTTCTTTTACAAACGACCCTGATTTTCCTCCCCATACCATATGACCCTTCCATCCCTCCATCTCCCTCTCCCGCCCGACCCGTCTCCTTCCCCCCTATCCTTCTGCACCTGTCCTCTCCCCCGCCCCTGCATCCCTTGCCTGGCACGGCAGACTGCTGCAGAACAATGATCTGAGTGGGTCGCTCCCTTCCAACCTGGGCACTATCACCACATTACAAACGCTGTGAGGCATGGGGCGGATGGATGAAGCATGGGGCTGGACTCATGGCATGCACTGTGTACATAAGGCATGTGCATGTGGCATGGGGTTTGGTTCATGGGTTACTTTGTGGGGATGGTACATGGGGCTGGACATGGTGCATGCATGGGATGGGACATGGTGTATGGGGCATAGTGCATGGGGCATGGTGCATGGGCATAAGTGCAAGGTAGTAGCTTCCCAATTTAAAGTATTTTTGTTCTCATGGCGTTCTGTAGCACACACATTGGAGAAAGGAGGTATATTAGCGAAGAATGATTGCATGTCTCTCCACTCCACCTTGTCACGTCATGAACCACCCACGTGTGTGCCGCTCATCAGTCAACCTTCCTTCAAGCCCACTCTCCCTCTGAAAAATCGCCCATGGAATGCACTCTGTGGACCCACGCGCCTCTCCTTGTTGACCACTCAGTTTGTCTAGTTCGGCGCTCGCCCTATAAGCCCGTGCGACCCTGCTCGTTGTGTGTTGATATCCTTCCATCACTAGGTTCGCCTCTCCAGTGGCCTCCCACCCACGTCCTGCCACGGCTGGGTCGGGATGCACATTGCTTACTCAAATATTTTGCTTATATATATAGATGTACATATATATATATATTTGTTCCTACTTTCTCATCCCTCTCTTCCCTTCTCCCGCCACACATTCTCCCCCCACACATTCTCCCCCAGCAATTTGGCGCACAACGAAATCAGTGGCCCCCTTCCAACGCAGTGGACGGCAACTTCTCTTGACACACTGTCCGTGTTCCTTTCACTCTTTCTTTCTTTATTTTTTTTAGGGTAGTCGTGTGTGTGATTGCATGTGTGAAACGTCTACTAGGCTACATATGTTATGTCATTGCACGTGCAACACTATGTTGGATTGCAGTGGCCCCCCTCCACGTCTGCATGAGCCAGCTCCTCAGCTCGTCTAGTGGAAATCAGCTCCTCCTGAGTCGAGCCGAGTCGTCGCAACAGCCACCTACGTGACCCGAAATTGTGCTGCTCGTTCTCCTTGAGAAGAAGTTTTTATTCTCCACTCCACTCGAATGTAGCCTTGCGCTGCAGACCCCTCCTGCCCCACTTCAACATTTGCCCAGGTTTAGTGTTTCCCTCAGCACGGAAACACAAATTTGTGCTGGGCATTGGTGTGTGAACGATAGAAAAACAGACCTATCGTGCACAAGGAAGAGCTGGTTCAAGAATGCGGAAAGGTTCCACAAACAGTAAGAAGAGATTCGAAGTGCACATACAAGCAAAACAAAAGCTAAAATAGGCAGAAACTGAAGGGAGCTAGCTTGGAGGTGACTTGGGCTGGTCCTAGGTGAGGAAATTGGTATCCAAGGGACTTGGGGTGGTCAAAAGAGCGTTCAAGTCGCCAACAGTCAAGATGGTGGCTCAGGTGTGTTGTGCCCTCGTCAAGGCTCGAACCACCAAATTAGCTGCTTTTATGCCCATGTCTACATTATACGCCATGCCACGGCACATGTCTCTCAGAATAAGCAACATCTGGCTTTATTAAAATGCCGCACTGGTTCCCCATGCCATGCCTATCAGCAGCAACGCTGTTTGGGATGCTCTGGCTCTCTGTTCCTGCCCGTGCCTGCACCATCCCATACACACATCGCCCATCTGCATCCCTCTCTGCATAGCATTTGCCCATTCCTCCCCCCTCTCCCACCCCCCCCCGCCCCCCCCCCCCGCCCCCCCCCCCCCCCCCCCCCCCCACACACACACTCACTTCCAATCTATTCCTTCACTTCCATCTCATCTCCCAGTGCTGCCTGAGCCTCCTTTCCGGCATTCCAAATTTTGATTTACCAGCTGAACTTGTCTCTGTTATTTGGCTGTTCTCTTCCCCCAGTGACCTCAGTGACAACCAATTGACTGGAACTATACCAAACGATATCACAGGCTTGGTCTACCTCACACTTCTGTAAGGCTCTGTTTCTTCGTCCCTAGTCATTCCCCCCCACCTATCCCACACGCCACTCTTGCCTCCTCCATCACCAACAGTGGCGTTGAGTCTGAGGGTTTTGCATTGACCCGACCTGACCTGTCTGGATCGACCCGAGACGGGTACGGGACAGGCCGGGGAAGCCGCCTCGACCCAGGCTAATAGGGTCAGGTCAGCCCAAAGGCGGGTTGTTTTGACCCGAAGGCCAATCTGGTTGTCCGACTCGCAAAAAAACATAGGGTCAGGTCAGCCCAAAGGCGGGTTGTTTTGACCCGAAGGCGAATCTGGTTGTCCGACTCGCAAAAAAACATAGTGCTGGGCGGATCGGCGATTTCCCCTGCAGATTCGTGCGGATCGGCATATCGTATCAGTGGCTGCAGTAGGGCAGGAAGGGAAGGGGGGAGGGCAAATACACAGCTCCTATCCCGCTCGTGTTTCTGCTTAGGCTTGAGCAAATGGCCTTCCTGGGTCGGGTCGGTGAGCCTTCTGATTCGGACTTGTTGGGTCGGATTGACACCCAATTCAACAAATTATGCCGGGTCGGCCAGAACCAAATGCAGTTTGACCCCGACCTGCACTAGCTGCGAGGGTTATGTTATGGGCTGAGGGCTTGCACTAGGCTCAATGGCGAGATTTGTGAAATGGTGTGCGGGGGTTGGATTTGTATATACAGTGTGGAGAAGAGTGGTAAGCGGCGGCAAATTGGCTGAGAAGGGAGAGGTTGCGGAGGGATGGGGGAGAGGGGGGAGGGGAGGGCTCGCTTTGACCCGTCCCGCTCGCTCCGGGAAATTGGCAAGTGGAGCACAGCTCGTGGCCACCAACCACGGATAGTTTTTTGACGAGCTGGCCACGAGCTCAAGACGAAGCTCGGCTTGCCATGCTTTATTTCCTCAGTCCTCGCCTACTGTGCTTCTTGTTCTGTCCAGGGACCTGAGCTCCAACCGCCTTACTGGCACCATACCGCAAGGTCTCTCTAATTGTTGTGCATACCTAGACACTCTGTAAGGCCCCCATACGCCCCCAACTCACTTGCCCTGTCATGCATCCAACAGTATAATTGCTTTCTTATTTCCGTTGCTTTTCCGGGCTCCAGCCTTGCGAGAGTGTTTGCTCCTTTCTCATTCTCTCTCCCCCATTGGGTCGCATTCCCCATCCTTTCATTCCCCATCATTCCATTTCTCATGCATCCATTCCCGATCCTTTCATTCCCCTGTTTGTTGTAGTGGGCTACTTTACACTCTGAATCATACCCTTTGCTTCATTTCAGGTTCACTTTACTCTCACTTCTTAGTCTGTTTCCTAAACTGAACATGTCGTTAATTCAACTGGGGTTTCATCCCCACCAACTCCATTTTCTTGTACTCTCACCTAAGTCATGTACCTACCCTTTTCACCATCTCACTATTTACGGCACCTTGTAAATTGACTTCAGCATCCCCATCCTTCCATTCCCCATTCTTCCATTCCCCATCCTTCCATTCCCCATCCTTCCATTCCCAATTCTTCGATTCCCCATTCTACCATTCCCCATCCTTCCATTCCCCATCCTCCCATTCCCCATTCCTCCATTTCCCATTCTTCCATTTTCCATTCTTCCTTTCCCCATCCGTCCATTCCCCATCTTTCCATTACCCATCCTTCCATTCCCATTTTTTCCATTCCCCATCCTTCCATTACCCATCCTTCCGTTCCCCATTCTTCCATCCCCCATTCTTCCATTCCCCATCCTTCCATTCCCCCCTCTTCCACTCCCCATCCTTCCATTCCCCATCCTTCCATCTCTACCCGCAGAAACCTGAGGAACAATCTGCTCACGGGAAAGGTCCTTGAGCCCGTACCACGTTCAATAACGACGTACAAGCTGGACAACAACTACTTGAGCCAGGGGTTCTCCTCCCCTCCGCCATGCACGAAAGGCTACATCACATACCGCAGCAACTGTGCAGCCCCACCAGCACAGAGCCTTGCATGTGGTGCGGACGAGGCTGCACAGAAGACCGACCCCGTCTGCACTGCCTTCTGCGGTGTCAACGGCACCGCCTCCCCTCCTGTGCCCGCCTGCAACGGCCATGGCGTGTGCTTCTTGGACGGCCCCAGCAACATGCCCACATGCCTCTGTGACAATAACTTCGTGATTGGGGAGTTTCCTGGCAGCTGCGTGCCTGTGGCAGGTATATACAATCGAAATACCCATGGTGCACTTGCCACACAGAATCCATTGGGATGTTGTCTCCCCTTATGCTCATGCTAATCATATCACCCCCTGGTTGCCTTTCTTGACTGCGCCCATACCTCTTAATCACTTCCTGCCTAATGTTTTCTTCTGGAAGTTGCTTTATGCAATCGGACCTCTATGCCTTCTGCCCGCTTCCAGGTGGTAAAACGGAGCAGCAGCTGACCCCCACATCTACCACGCTCACAGCCACGGGAGTCGCATCAGTAAATGCAGCCACGCTCACTCTCACGCCCGCCCAGCCGTCCAAGGCTGGCAGTGTGTTCCTGGCAGCGCGCGTGCCGCTCTTCTCCTACCAGCTCATCGGGGACACCTGCGGCCGCCAGCTCGCCTTCTCCTCCTCCTTCTCCTTCACTCTCACCCGCCCTGCTGCCTCCGGCTCCGAAGGCTTTGCCTTTGTGGTGGCCTTTGATGCCACCCCGCCTACAACACCGGTGGCGGGCGGCATGGGGTATGCGGGGATGGGAGCGCGCAGCGTGGCAGTGGAGTTTGACACGTCGATGGATGCGGGCAACAGCGACCCTGACAGCAACCATGTGGGCATCAACACCGGCGGCAACGTCACGTCGGTGGTCACAGCCAAGCCCAGCACCCCTCTCAATGACGGCAAGTCGAAGCACGTGTGGATCGAGTACGACCCTTCCTCTGATGGCTCCCTGCGCGTCTTTTTGTCCTCCAAGGCGTCCCCTCGCCCCACCACCCCCCTCCTGTCGGCACGCATCTCCCTGTGTGAGGAGCTCGCTCCCTCCCCATCGGAGTATACCTTTGCCATCGGCTTCACTGGTGCCTCCGCCGCCCAGCCTCAAAGCCATGTCGTCTCCGCCTGGACCCTCTCCACCTGTGAGTGCATCTCTCCACCTGTGAGTGCACCTCTGCACCTGTGAGTGCACCTCTGCACCTGTGAGTGCACCGTTGCATCCATGTTTTCACTTGTGGTCGCTTATTTGTGGTCGCCCCTTCGTTGAGAAAGCAAGTTGATGAACAAAGATTGCCGCTCTAACTTAGCTCTTTGCTGGAATGTTTTTGCTTACGTGTTTTTGTTGCAGATTTTCCTGTCCAGCCAACTCCAGGTAACATGTGATACAGTTTCTACATTTTTCTGTGTGACGCAATCAATGGAGTTGCAATTTCAACCAGTTTCGGGTGCTCAGCAGCTGTTCCCTCAACTACTATCATTGTGTCTATCATGTGCACTATCATCAATCACAGATGCAGCGCTGGGGTTTACCTTCACGGAGGCGGCGCTCTCTCTATCAGGGATGAATCTCTTCTTCCGCTATGCCAGCTCGGGCAGTGTTGCTGCTGTGAACGGCAATGACGTGTATGGCGTGCGCCCTGCAGTTTCTTGGGTCAATCCAAACTTCACATGGCCTGTCAAGACACAAACCACTTGCGGTAAGTACCCCTACACCCACACTACTTGGCCATGCCAGGTGTTACCACGAACCGAGCAAGGGTCGATCCACTTGAGACCAAGCAAGTGTAACCGAAATTTACACCTCTGAAACGAACTCAAAACTTCTATTTAGTCACAACAGGCTCAAATGTGACTAGAATAAAATCAGAGTGCAAAGATGGCTTTCTGCAAATCGGTTTCAAACATTGATAGCGGATTGGTCACAGCACCAAATGATGTTCTATAGATTGGACTTTGGACTTCTTGATGTCAGCTTCACTAACCAAGCCAAATCCCTCGATTTGATATAGAAATAATGACGCGGTCTTACTGGTTGTTTCAACAAACGGCAGTATTGCAGCAATTATAATCCGCAAAATATGAAGTTTGAGTTGTCAATGACTCCTAACCTCTACAACCTTAAGAGGCGTGGTCCAGGGAGGTGGAACAGTTCTATATAGTTTCCAGCTACAAAGGGGCTCGAGACTATCTACCATAACAGCCTACACCAAGTGAAGTATTACACTACATAATGCAAATTAACATTTTCCATTATCGTTATGGCAAACTTGCTGCACATATCTGCGACACGCTGAATGTTTAACACACGACAAATCAGAAAACGCACACAACACGCGAACGACAACGTTACACGCGACTAACAAAATTTCGCTACCGACTCGACACACACATTAGACATCATGACTCATCATTCACACTCATATAAGCACAAAATATGAATTTTCTCATGCTATTATACCATTCCATACACACACGCACACACAAGGACAACAAGCCGAGTGCAATCCATAAGATTGCACCAGAAGGGTCACTATGGGGGAAGAAAACAAACAAACAAACAAAAACCGATGTTTGTTTTGGACGAATATAAATTGTCTGCTCATGATAAGGCCGTGCCTTTTGGAGTGTTTTTAGTCCGCCCGACTTTTGTTGAGCCATCTTGGCTCAGGCAGAGTGAGAGCCAAATCTACGTAGCTAATAGTCGAACCAAACCGGACAGGTTTGTGTTTCCCCTATGCAACCTACGCAACCCATTCATTTCCTGGCAGGCGACTGCTGGGCGTACGCAGTGGTGGGCAGCGTGGAGGCGGCGCTGAGCATTCTCGCCAACACCTCAGCGGCGCCGGTGCTGTCAGTGGAGCAGCTGAAGGCCGCCATGAAGGTCGGCTGCTCTGGCAGCACGCCCTCTCAGGCCTTCCAGCTGCTGCTCAAGCTGGCACGCAAGGGAGGCGGGCTCGTGCCAGAGGGTCAGTGGCCGGCCGAGAAAGGCAAGACGCCTGTGAAAGCAGGCAGCAGCAGTCCTCTCTGCGCACCGCTTATGAAGCCACTGGCAAAGCTGTTTGGTGTGGCGTGCGGCAAGGGCAGCGGCAGCGTACGAGTGAGTGAGGCTGTGGGGTTGCAGTTGTGAGTAGCTCACATCATCACACGATTGACTGAATGCATGCTGCTTGCTTCGTTGTTCGGACAATCTGAGCCCAAAATTCTCTCATACTGAGTGCTCATATGCCCGCCTGCATGCTTTTCCATGCTTTGATCCTCTTCCGTACTAAACATATCCCAGCAGCTCGCCGGTGGGTTCCCCATCAGTGGCTTTGAGTCGACGTCCTTCTACGGCTGGTTTGGGCTTCTGTTGGCCGTGCAGCGGCAGCCAGTGGTGGTGCACATTGAGGCTTCCACTGACTGGTTCAAGAGCTACGATGGGGTGAGGCGAGTAGTGTGCTGTCTAGTGATGGGAGGAGGCGAGAAGTGTGCTGTCTTGGAACAGGTGGGACAGTTGTGTTACTCAATAGGAGGTTATGTATGAATGAATTGTAGGGCGTTTGTGAATGTAAATTAGGGTGTGCGTGTAGCTCCTGCTGCATTTTTTACTTTACGAAAAAACTTTACAAAGGTGCATGGCAAATCAATATTTACCTTGCCTTACCCATTCATTCCTTCCTCCCCAGCTGTCCAAGTACCAGGACCCAGGGTGCTTCACGTACAACCTGAACCACGTGGTGCTGCTGGTGGGGTACCGCCTGGTGGGCAAGGACTCGCGCTTCCCCCACATGGCGCCGCCCTTCTGGATCATCCGCAACTCATGGGGGGCTGACTGGGGCGATGGGGGCCACATGCGCATGGACATCCAGGGGGGGGATGGCGTGTGCGGCATCAACTCGCTGCCAGGCCTCTACCCTGTGGTTAGAGGTGAGTGAGCGCACGGTCGGAGGATAGTATAGGATGAAAAGTGTGTGCACAGTAAATGGTGGGTGAGTGCATTCTTGCAGGAGGGTATACGTTATCCTTCAGATGAATGTGTGTGCTGCACTGTCAAGGATGAGTGAGTGCACATTATCCTTCAACACTCCAGTTCATCCCATACCACCATTTTGCACTTCTTGCCATGTGAACACACATGCCTTGCTTCCTTGCTTTCCCTGCGCGCCCTCTTTCTACCTGCAGGCACCTCTGAACCCTGCAGCATAGCCGCCCGCAATGATAGCACAGGCTCGTTCTTCAATCCCTGTGGCAAGTTCAAGTGCATTGCAAAGGGCAAGACGAACGAGTGTGACTGCAATGACCCGCGCTTCATCCAAGCAACCAACGCCGATGGCTCTCGCACATGTGCCTACAGTAAGCATTGCCGTTGAATGATGCTATTCGGTAACATCTCATAAGCTGAAACCATCTCAGCAGCACAACTCCTTGCCTCCTTGCACTGCTATCACAGGCACATTATCCCTCCCTTGAGCTCACTTCCCTCCTTTCCCCTCCCCTCCACTCTTCACCATTCCCCTCATCAGAGGATGCATGCAAGGCAGCCCAGCGCAATCCGTGTGCGGTGGGGCAGTGTGTGAATGACGGGGCGGGGTCGTACTCGTGTGTGTGTCCACCGGGATTCAGGCAGGGCACCACCGTCGATGGCACCTTCTCCTGTGCTCCAGGTACCTTCTGTATGCTGATGAGTGACATGCAGGCGTTCTCAAATGACGTCTCAGAGACCTTACGTCCAAAAAGCCTGCGAACATATAAAGTGCTTCTATTGTGCGTGTTCTCGTAGATTTTGCGTACTTACATGTGCGCTCGCGCATGTGTACATAATTAGTCCGCCCGGCCAGGTACCAGAATCATACATGAGTTTCCCCTTCCCCCAGTACCTGTATACGGAAACGTTGGTACCAATTTCGTGCACGCGGCTCAAAAGGACGGCACAGATTAAGTGTGTGCGGTTATCTGTGCTCTACTTCGATTCTTGACAAGGCGGTGTAGTGTTAGGGCATGCCACATGGCTTTGGTGCGCCCTTGGTTGACCCCCCTGTTGTTCAGGGCCAGACAAAGTACCTGTATGTATCTGGCCATCCCTGGAGCAGCCCTCGGTCCAGACTTGCGAGTCGCGCTCCAAAGAGGGTAAATTATTTTTGAGGCGCCTAAAAAATCGTCTCAACTCACGCGGATTCTATGTGGAGAGAATTTCAACTGCTTGGAAGTGTTCTCGTAACCTGCAAAGGTTACTTGTGCGTGCGCGGTTAACGAACCGATCAAGTCGTTCGAAGACTTTTCGTGAAAGCTGACAGAGCACATTGGGTTTACCCCCCTTGCTTAGTCGGCGACTGCTTATGAATTGCAATCTGGGTAGTTGGTGTACATTGAGTGGATCTCGAGGGCAGTAGCAGGTACTTAGCTAGCTGCTGTCCGAGGCTTCTCTTCCTTGTTGAACCTGTAAGCAGCTCCGATGAAGGCTTAGCGGGGTTCTGTCCAGTTGGCCGAAACTAGTTTGCGAATAAGGGTTTTTCGAGTTTGGAGGCTTTGAGATTTTCTTAAATTTCTAGGAACAATTTTTACAAGCGATTTCTCTAGGTTTGTTCCTACTCCCAATATGAACTTGGATCCTTGGGCCAGACAAAGTACCTGTATGTATCTGACCATCCCTGGAGCAACCCTCGGTCCAGACTTCCGAGTCGCGCCCCAAAGAGGGTGAATTATTTGTCTTTAACAAGTGTTTGACTAAGGGGTTGCATTACACTAGGGCTAGCTTGGACCAGGGATGGGGCCAGCATGTGACATTTGTGATTCGTCGTGACATTCCAATGCAACAGTCACGAAACCACCACTTGGGGTCGTCATGTCACGACTCGTGCGCATGATACATCTACTTCCATCTTGCGTCGCGCACGCCTCTCTCCGGATATTGGTGTGCCCTGGACCACTTTTGGCCCGGGGCTGGTGGAATGACTGGTCCGTGTGTCTGGTCCTAGTAACTACGTTTGGTAAGAGACATTGACGACATGCTACATCAAGTAACGAGTGTTCGGTGAAAACAATGGTTTTACATGTTTTGCCTGGCAGTACTTACAGGCCCGGAGCTGCGTGAATGACATACACGTTAACATAAGCACCTCAAAAAGATGCTGTGCTCTGTGCCTCCCACTTACTCACTTCTGTTATGCTTCCGTGATATTGCATGTTACATGTTGTGCTGCATCCTGTGCGGCACGCTGTGCTGTGCTGCGTGCTGTGTTGCAAGCAGGTGACACCAACACCACCTACACCGTGCTCTCTCCCAACGTCCGCTGCTCCGATGTCTTCCCGGTCTACGGCCTCACGCTCGCCCAGTTCCAAGCCCAGAACGTGCGTCTCCTGCACCCACACCTCATCACCAGTTGTCTTCCTTGTATTTTGGCCCACACTTCGCATGCAAGCTCCTGTCTCGCGTGCCTACGTGGTGTGTGCCGTGTCTCTTCATGCCTCTCCCTCGGTGTCTGCAGCCATCGGTGTCATGTGCAGATCCCATCCCACCCTCCACCGTACTAAAAGTGGCCAGCCCAGCCTCTCTCATCCCCTGCTCCGTCTTCTACACCACTCAGCAGGTCCCCACCTCCCACCTCTCTTCTTGCCCCCTTCCTGCCAATGCACCATCTTTTCCATCTTCCTCAAATATGCTCATCTTCCTCATATTCCGCACTTATGTCCTAGTATGGCCCCCAATGGCCTCCACCCCATTTCCCGACCTCAGATTTTCCATTCGTTTCACCTCTCTACCTTCCCTGAAGAAGGCACTCACAGTCTCTGACTCTGTATATCCCTGTGCATCTCTCCCTCCTCCATCTCCCTTCAATCTTTCACCACCCTTTGCTCGGCGCCCTCACAATTTCTCGTTCTCTTCGTTCCCTTGCTCCCACCTCCCCCTCTTCCCCTCATCCTCAGGGCGACACCTGTGCAGCCCTGGCGCTATACTTCAAAGTGCACTGGTCCTGCCCATCTGCCACCTGCACGGCCACCTTCCAGGCGCTCAACCCCAGCTTGGACTGCAGCGCCAACGGCGGGCTGCTGCAGCCCGAGCAGGCGGTGTGTGTGAGTGCATGAGCTATCAAGTGGGGCTCATCCCGGTGTGCTCGCAGTACTACCTGGTGCAGAGCGCAGAGACGTGCGAGTCCATCCGCAATGTGCCCTACCCCCCTCTGAGCCCCGTTGACTTCTTCCGACTCAACCCCGGCATCAAGTGCAACCGCCTCATTCCCAAAACTGATGTTGACGGCTTCACTGGCTTTGAGGTGCGTGTGTGACAGCAGCTCTGCTCACGCCTCTCTGTGTTTGTGGATCGATCTTTCCCCGTCTTACACTACCTCACTCGCCCTCCCCCACCCCCCCAGGCATGCATTGCGAGCTCCACGTCGTACACTCAGGGCACGTGCCCGCGTGCGAATGCGTATGTGGTGGGGACATGGGACAGGTGCACGGCGATTCAGGTGAAGTACTTCCGGGGCATCAAGGGCTGCTACAGGAAAGTCAACGGATACGACTGCATCGACAAGCTCGTCAAATCAACCCGCGTGTGCCTGCCTGACAAAGTCAAGCTTCGAAAAGGAGTCTGCGACAACTGTCCACCGGCATGTTGTCTCTGCATCTGCCGTGATAGCCAGGTCTGGCTCATTCAAAATATTCTGAATGAGGACATGATCCTGGTTGAGTGTGCGTATGCTCCTCATTGTTTTTTGCTCCACACACAGTACCTGTACAGGACTTACCTCGTTAGCACGTTGATGGCTCGGTGGGCGGAGGAGGGAGGTAGGAGGGACGCAGGGGATCCAGGTCTGGTTTTACCCCGCCTGGTTTACCGTCGGGATTTTTTTTTAAGAGTGAATTTCTCTGTTTCTTTGAAAATCAGAGTTGTTATTGTGATGTTTGTTGGTTAAAACATTCTAACATAGATGTTCTCTTTTCGACAGGGCTTTGTTTAAGCTACTCTGCTGGCTCAGTGTAGTTTTCTGCAACATACCGTTCATACTACTCTGTACAATACCGTACAAAGGACCCGGGGGACTTTTTACAAGTCCCCAAGAAATGCTGGGGTGATCATTAAAGCCCGCATGCAAAATAGTGACCCCCGTCCCAACTTGAATGAGGAGTTGCAAGTGAGGATGAAACCAGTATAAAAAACACTGTTTCAAACGATTTGTATGGGCAGAGTGAACTCATGTTATTGGCTCTCGCCACAATGGGAACGTAATGGTTCCCGCCAAAATGAACTTTCTTTCTCATATCAGCCGTCGCATTTTTGCGTGCCACATCCGCACGACAAACCCCAGGCGATGGTTTCCCATCGCAGGCCCAACCTCATTTTCAAGCTGGTGATGGGTGCATTACTAGATTTCTGTCACTCCATTCATCACTAGTTTCCGCATAGCATAGTAAGTAGTATAGCTGAAAGCACAGTCGTTCGTGTCATAGCCACGTAATTACCGACGAGTGCGTCAATCGTCGACTTAGCAAGAGTGTGAAATGTAGGTTTACATGGCCTGGTAGCGCAGTGCCAGTTTCCCGTCTCAATCAATTTGCCCGTCGCCTCGCTCTCTAGTCCGTCCCGTCGCCTTTCCGTCGCCCTCGCAAACACACGCGTGACGGCCCTCCCGTCGTCGTCACGGTCTCCCCTCCCGGTCCGTTATTCTCCCGTTTACCCCTCTTGTCCCCTCGCCCTCGCGATTTCCCTCCGATCCCGTCGCCTTCCCGTTCTCCCGCCCCTCGCCTTCGATGTCCCCTCTTCCTTCCCGTCGCCCTCACTATCTCCCTTCCCTCACGTTGCCTTTGATGTCCCCCTTTTCCTTCCGTCGCCCTCGCGATATCCCTTCCCCCTCCCGTCGCCTGTCCGCTCTCTCTCCCGTCGCCTGTCCGCTCCCCCCGCCCTCGCCTTCATGCTCTCTCTCACGTCGCCTTCGTGCTCTCCCTCCCGTCGGCTTCGCGCCCTCCCTCCCGTCTCCTTCGCGCCCTCCCTCCCGTCTCCTTCGCGCTCTCCCTCCCGTTGCATGTCCGCCCTCCCTCCCTTCGCCTTCGCGCTCTCTCTCCCGTCGCCTGTCCGCTCCCCCTCCCCTCGCCTTCGTGCTCTCCCTCCCGTTGCCTGAACCCCCGTCCCTCCCTTCGCCTTCGCGCTCTCTCTCCCGTCGCCTGTCCGCTCTACCTCCCCTCGCCTTCGTGCTCTCTCTCCCGTCGCCTTCGTGCTCTCCCTCCCGTCGGCTTCGCGCCCTCCCTCCCGTCTCCTTCGCGCCCTCCCTCCCGTCTCCTTCGCGCTCTCCCTCCCGTTGCATGTCCACCCTCCCTCCCTTCGCCTTCGCGCTCTCTCTCCCGTCGCCTGTCCGCTCCCCCTCCCCTCGCCTTCGTGCTCTCCCTCCCGTTGCCTGAACCCCCGTCCCTCCCTTCGCCTTCGCGCTCTCTCTCCCGTCGCCTGTCCGCTCCTCCTCCCCTCGCCTTCGTGCTCTCTCTCCCGTCGCCTTCGTGCTCTCCCTCCCGTCGGCATCGCGCTCACGTTCCGCCCTCCCGTCACCATCGCGCTCACGTGCACATGTCTTCGCATCGCCTTCGCGGTCATGGCCTCCCCTCCGATCACGTCTCGCGACATAAGTTAAGCTAGCAAGCACGTCTCGCGCCGTCGTTATCTCCCATCACGTTCCGCACCGTCGCTATCTCCCCCCTTCACCCCGTCGCGCTCGCTGTTTCTCCCCCCTCTCCCCGTCGCGCTCGCTATCTCCCACGCGATCTCATAGCGATCCCCCATTTGCAGTCGCCTACGCGATCTACTCCATTTTCCGTCGCCCGCGATCTCCCCCATTGTACGGTAAATCGCCCTCGCTATACCCCCTCCCTTACCGTTCTAATTCCCGTCGGCCCCTTTCTCTCCTCTCGAGTCACCTTGTCGTTCTTCTGTTTGCTACTTGCATCACTCTGTGTTGTTAGTTAGCTCAACATTGTGTGTATGTTGCGTGTGTGGTGGCAGGTTCCGTTGTGAAATTTGTGATGTGTTGTGCTCGATGCGGATTTGGATGGGTGGGAGAAGTGGAAATGTCATAGCAAGCTTGCGACATTTCCGTGCATGTTGCGACTGATCGTATCAGAAGTCGGAAACAACTTCAAATCGGTCTTGTTACTACTTGGGGACTTGCCCTGTTCAGAAAAAAACACCAAACTTTCTGGAAATTTTCATGAGCTTTCTAGTGGACCCAACTAGAAGGGGGGGGGGGGTCAATATTTTGCATGCGGGCTTTAAAATGGCTGATGACAGGTGATCAGAAACATGTGATTCAGGGTGTCGAGTACTTGTTACAATGAGACACCCCGCTTCGTTGATTACCTTGCTGATTCCCAACCTCCTTTTGCTCCTCCGCCTCCTCATCTGTTTCACCTCACTCTAAGGCCGCGTAACTTTTTCCGTTTCCATCCAAAGTCTGGACCCAGCAGAACCAGCAGCAGCATGGGCTGCCCCCAGCAGAACCAGCAGCAGCATAGGCTGCCCCCAAGCAGAACTAGCAGCAGCTTATGCTGCCGCCAGCAGCAGTTTAGGCCCACCTGCCAGAACCGCCCCCGGTTTCTAGCTCCTCGCATGGCGTGTAATAGGGTTTTACAGCAGCAGGGAAAGGCACATCACTTCCGGTGGTGGGGACCTGCGAGTCCAAAGTGTGGCGCCCCCAGCAGTGGCTCAGCTAGCAGTGGGCGAGACTCGGCCCCTGCGGGTACCGGGCCCTAACAGGCCCTGGTGCTGGCACTACCTGTTGTTGTCCTTACCACTCTGCGTCCCGCTGCTACCGTCGCCTCGACGGCCTCCACCGTGAGCGTTTTGGTCCTCACGCTACCACACTGGCCTTCGCGTCTTCGCCAGCGCACTGCTGCATCAGTTGAGTCTCACCTACCTGTTCTATGACCATTCCCGGTTGTATGAGTAGAGACATGTATTTCCAGCTTGGTGCGTGTGTAGTTTCCAGTCCAGGCGCCTCTGAGGGTCTTTATGTCAAGACTAAGTCAAGGGAATGATGAGATTAGGTCAAGGTTGGGGTACAAGTGTCGAGGAAGATTCTGTACCCCCTAGTGCTAACCCCCATGCAGCCTAGATAACCTAAACATGCATATATAATTTGACACACCCCCATAGGCGAAATGGGGGATAGCCAGAGCAAGCAACGGTCACAAGACCAGTCAAGAGAAGAAACAAACCACAGCTCAGGGTAGATCACAAGGTCACCATGCAGTCTGAGCACAAGCAAAAGGCCACAAGGCCAGTTCACATGCAGAGATATATATGTAACAACAACAGCACAGTGATCTCTACCTACCAGAGCAAACATGCAGGTATATATATAGATCACAGTACAAACAAAGCCTACAGCAAGTGAGGAAACGTGGGCACAAGGCCTAACAAAGTACAGAAACGCTGATGATCACCAGGCGGAAGTGCCTTGGTGAATATATCAGCAGTGTTGGCCCGAGTGGCCACGTAAGCAAGACGAAGCTGACCACGCTGCTGTAGCTCTCGAGCAAGGAAGTAACGCAGAGCGATGTGCTTCGTTCTTTGCTCCAGTCTGTGCTCCTGACACAAGGCAATGGCGGCCTTGTTGTCGACGTACAGCACTGGAGGCCTCTCTCCCAAGTCGGTCAGCAGGTAGGTGAGCCAGCATAACTCCTGTGCACCCATGGCTGTGGCGTAGATCTCAGCCTCACAACTGGAGCTGAGAACTGAAGACGAGCGTGTAGAACGCCAAGAAACCGAACCAGAGCCAAGGCTGAAGGTGTAACCCTGTGACGACCGCTGTGTAGCCTGGTCGTCAACCCAAGAAGCGTCTGAGTGCCCAGTGAGGACAACGTCGCTCCGTCCTCCAAGCATGAGCCCCATGCCTGATGTACTGCACAAGTAGCGTAGTACCCTCTTAGCAGCATCCATGTGCACCTTTCGGTGCCGACCAGGAGCCACGTAGCGAGCCAGAAGGCCAAGAGGGTACGCAAGGTCAGGACGAGTGCAGATCATCAGGTACATGAGGCAGCCCACTAGCTCTGGGTAAGGACCACTCGGCTCTACGGACTCGTCCGAAGGTGGAGCTGAGAGCAAGTGACCTGTAGCCAGAGGAGTGGGCTGTGCCGAGGACCAGGTGAAGCCAAAGCGCTGAAGGACCTGCTGCACCATGTGTGACTGAGTCAGTGTGATGGTGCAGCGTGCTCTGTCCCGGGTGATCCGCAAGCCAAGATAGTTTGTCAGCTCCCCCAGGTCTGTGCACGTGTGTCTCTTCTGCAACTCCGACTTCACCAGGGCGAGAGCCTCAGTGTCAGCAGTGGCAAAGACCAAGTCGTCGACGTACACGATGATGTAGAACGGCGGCAGCGAAGTGTTGGTGCGCAGAAACAGCGACGGGTCAGCAGTCGACGGAGCAAACCCAAGAGCTGCAAGTGTCGTCCTCAGTGTGTCGTGCCACTCACGTGGCGCGTGGCGGAGACCGTAGACCGGCCGCCTGAGGCTCCACTGGGTACCAGAAGGGAAAGACCCAGTGAAGCCAGGTGGGCGGCGCAGCCAGATCTCCTCGTGCAGGCTGCCCTGTAAGAAGGCTGTGCTGAAGTCAAGAGAGTGAAGCTCGTAGTCACGCTGAGCGGCAACGTGCAGCAGCACCCGAAGAGTGGTCATCTTCGGGGTGTGGGAGAAGGTCTGGAAGAAGTCTACTCCGTGTCGCTGACTGAAACCTCGTGCAACGTAACGCGCCTTGAAGACAGGCGGAGAACCTGGCGGCCGCTTCACCCTGAAGTTCCACATGCCACTGACGATGTTCGCCCCAGGAGGGGGAACCTCGTCGATGTACATGCCTGTGGACTTCCAGGATGCCATCTCTGCGTCCATGGCTGTCTGCCACTGAAAGGAGTACTCACCCGCGATCGCCTCAGCGTAAGAGCGCGGGGTGGGGATGTCTGGTGCATCCGGGTCTCCCTCAGGGGCAAGCAGCATGGCCACGAGATGAGGCGCAGTGGCCGCAAGACACTCAAGGTCCTCGTGCCTGTCCTCAAGGACGTCCGTGCTAAGAGCACACTCACCCACAACGGACGGAGGACAGACAGACTCAGACTCAGCAACAAGACTAGCAGCGTAGTCTAGACGACAGGCAGCAGCAAAGTCGACTAGCTCAGCGACTAGGGCAGACGCAGCAGTGGACTCAAACGACGGGTCAGTGACAACAGTGGCTAGCAGACGCGTGACAGTAGGGGGCTCAGTACGAAACTGGTCAGACTCAGGGTCCGCAACGACAGGCAGAGAAGACGCAGGAGGAGACGGTAGAGGAACACTCAGCGGAGGAGAGGAAGGACGACGGACAACAAGGGAAGGGCCGAGGACAGCCGGCTGACGCTGACGAGGAACACGACGACTGGAACGACCAGAACGGACAGGTGAGACAGGACGCGACGCAGGCTCACGACGCTCAGTAAGGCCCCCTGTCTGCTCAGCGTAAGGCCCCCTGTCTGCTCAGTTTCTGGTCCCCGAGGAGCAGCGCGGTGGAAGCTGAAGCCGAAGGCCAGGTGAGGCCTTCATCTCGGAGTGTCGGAGGAGAGCAAGGGCTGGGAGCTCCTCGACATCGCCGACAACCGGGTAGTCACCACGTCGGACGTGATGTTCTATGAGTCTATGTCCCTGGAGGTGTGGAAGTCGGAGCACGGGTCGGCGTCAGGGCGGACGCAGGCCACCCCGCCAACTGACACATTGACGGCGAGACTTTCCCTTCTCGCCGAGGTTGGAGAGCTGGCTGCTGAGGACGCCGAGGTCGTCCGCCATCCTTCCTCTCCCCCTGCACCTCCTACCCTACCACTTGTCGCCGATCTGTGTGGGCTGAATTCGACGTCGGCCAGCGGCGATGAGGGGAGAAGCGGGGCGTCGCCTGTGGCGGGGGCCAAGAGCATCGCCGGTTGTCAACGGAACGCACATCCAGTCGACGTGAGGTCGTCTTCGACAGGGGCGAAGCAGGCCGAGGTGCAACCGACTTTGGTGAAGCTAGCGACGGAGGCAACGGCAGGGCAGCAGTCGACGGGGGAGCTGGCAGCAGTGAAGCTGACCACGGAGGAGTCGGCGACCAGGCGGTCGGTAAGGGGAGCCAACCGCAGGGAAGAGAAGTCGGCAGGAAAGTCGGCAGTGGTGCAGCAGGATGCCGAGGGCAGCGACGCCGGTGACGATGGAGGGGATGCCGAGGAGGAGGAGATCCGCATCCTCATCGGCACGGGGACCTGGGAGCTGGTCGAACACCCACCTGGGGTGAACATCATGAAGAACTGGTGGGTGCTGACGACGAAGTACCACATCGACGAGACCGTCGAGCGCGAGAAGGCGAGGCTGGTCGTGAAGGGCTTCATGCAGGTGTATGGCGCCGACTACGACGAGATGTATGCGCCGGTGAGCAGCTACGTCACGCTGAGGATCTTCCTCAGCATCGTCGCCGTCCTCGACCTCAACCTGATGCAGCTCGACATGAAGAATGCTTTCCTGCAGAGCAAGCTCGACCGGGTGCTGTACATGTACCAGCCGGACTACTTCAACGACGGAACCGGCCGGATGTGCAAGCTGTTAAAGAGCCTCTACGGGCTGAAGCAGTAGCCGCTGCTGTGGTACAGGGCTCTTGACGGTGTGCTGCTGAGCCCTGGCTGGAAGAAGAGCCAGGTCGATACGACACTCTACTTCAAGTTCTGCGGGGATGGCATAGCTTGCTGGGTGCTGGTCTACGTCGACGACCTGCTTGCCGCCAGCGACTGTGCAGCGATGCTGAAGGAGCTGAAGGAGCTGCTGGAGGCCGCCTTTGAGCTGCGGGAGATCTCGCCGGTACAGAAGTACCTCAGGATGGATATCGTGCGCAACAGACCGGCAAGGAAGCTGTGGCTCCACCAACAGGGCTACGCCGACAAGCTGCGTAGGCAGTTCCTCGACGAGGAGCAGACCGGGCACACCCCGAAGACCCTGGTCTTGGTCGATGCCTACGTCGAGCTCACCTTCGACGACGATGAGGCGCAGGAGCGCCATGAGGAGGAGTACCGGCAGAAGGTCGGCTCGCTGCAGTTCGCGGCAACGACGACGAGGCCGGACATCGCCTTCGCCTGCAGCAAGCTGGGGAGCGATCTCACGGTGAGGAGCGACCAGCACTGGCGCGAGGTCGACCGCTGCCTCGCCTACCTCGCCAATACCTGCGACACCGCCCTAGAGTTCGGCGGTGGACCTGAGTTGCTGAAGCTGGTCGGCTACGTGGACGCCGAGGACACCGGCGACAAGCAGAACCGCACGAGCACGGGCGGCTACGTATTCGTCTACGGAGGGGCCGCTGTCTCCTGGTCGAGCCAGCGCATCAAGTACGCGACGCTGTCGTCGACCGAGTCGGAGTACATGGCGGCAACCGATGCCAGCAAGGAGGGACGTCGCCTTCGCTTCCTCCTTGCAGATTTCCGGCAGCTGGACGCCGGGACGCCGACTGTCCTTCGGGTGGACAACAAGTCGGCCATCACGGTCGCCGAGGGTATGGGGTTGACGGGCAACCTCAAGCACATGGAGCGGCGACAGGCCTGGCTACAGCACATGGTGAAGCGCGGGAAGTTTTCACTGAAGTACATCCCGACCGCTGAGCAGCCGGCCGACTTCCTGACGAAGGCGCTGCACTATCCGGCCTTCAACCGGTGCTCCGTCGCAATCGGCCAAGTGCGCCTGGCCGACGTGGGCGACGGCGACAACGACGTGCAGCAGTAGGTGCCATGCCCTCTAGCATGGCTGGTGCAGTGACCAACGTGCTGTGTGTTGGGTGCACACCGACGAGCTATTCTGCGAGTAGTGCTGCCGTGTGAGCTGGGGGCCCAAGCGTGAACGCGGCAGGGGAGTGTCAACGGGAGTTGTGGTAGGCCCCGTCCTCGCTTGGGCGGAGCCGACTTCGTGTGGTCGGGTGTAAGGGGTGCAGCCGACTTGCAGTAGTGGGCGAGCTGGTTGACGAGGTTGGTCGACCTTCACGAGGGCCACTGCAAGGGCGTCGACTTGGGTGACCCCGACCAGGGGAAGCCGACTGGGTGTGGTCGGCTGACCGGTGTGCTGGTCGACCTGGAGCTGGTCGACTAGGAATGTCGTCGACCTGGAGCTGGTCGACCAAGGGTGTGGTCGACCTGGTGAGGTTGACCAGGGGTGGTCGTCGACTTGGGTGGTCGACGGGCACGTGGAGGAGCAGCTTGGTCGACGTGGTTGCCCGGTCGACCAGGTTACCTGGGTGACGAGGTTCTGCGGAGGAGTACGATGGTCGCCCAGGTGGTTTTGGCGAGACCGACCTCGGTGGTGGTATCCTGAGGTCGACGTGAATGATCAGATGCATTCGTCAGCACGAGGACGATCTGGTGTGTGCATTGTGCAGGTGACAAGGCATGGCACGCCAATCATCTGTGAGCACCTGCGAACAGGTGCGCTGCTGTTCTGCAGGAGCAACGCTGGCACGCCGTCGACTTGCAGCATTGGAACGTCGTCGACTTGCAGTGTTGGCAGGCCGCGACTTTGAACTCCTGGAGCGCGGTCGACCATGTCGTGCTGGAACGCGGTCGACCGTGCTGCGCTGGCAGTCAACTTGCTTGCATGCTAGCTCTGATGTAGTCTTGTCTTGCCAACTTGATTGTACTATTGTTCTCAACTTTTGCTAGTGAAACTCTTGCGGTTTTGCCCCGTGAATGCACAAGTGCTAGAGAACGACTAAGGAAAGAACGCAGAGATCACTCAAGCCACGTGCCTAGCCCGTAGTCTAGCTCTCGTTGAAGTAGTTATCTCCGCAAACTTATCGCGAATAGGGTGTATGTCGTAGAAATGACTAGGACACGAAGTGTGTTCTTCTAGCTAGACAGATCTGGGTTCAGAATGTATTGACTCACTGTTAAGAGAACTCGTTCTTGTGCATTTCACTATTGTTTCAATTTTAAAAAACTTGCATGCGCTCGTAAAAAGTCACACTTTGTCTAGGGGGTGTGTTTATAACCGAGGACCGGATATAAGCGCAGTGCTCATATAGAAGGGCATGAGCTTATCATAGGCCTGCGCCTATATCCGGGGGAACACACAGGGCTGACTTTTCAATTTCAGGCACCCGGAATCCCCGCCCCGATTTTTTTTTTTTCTACCCTGAAGACACTTCGGCCAGAAATTAGGCAACCTGATTGGCCAGTGTTCTGAAGTCCGACAGTCTGACCACTCAGAGTTGGCGGTTCCGCGTCAGACAACAACCTCTTACAGCACCGTTGCCAATTTCTGTGATGTCGCATTGTGCCGCGTGACTCATCCATCCTAGTGGAGTTTGCAGCCAACTTGCCTGCAAAGTTGCGAGTCTGTTTTTCGCAAGTGAAGTTTGGTCCTGTTGATCGCAGCTGAGGTGTACATACAAAGTGGCGCAAGCCAAGTGGGGTGAGCTGACACACTGCGAGCTGGTTCTGTAGGAGTAGGACCAAGAACTGTGGCGCTTGGCGCACAAGACCTGTCGTGCAAGCACACCAGTTTCTTACGTACACCTTGTGCACAACAACAACAACCACCCTCTGCATTGAGTTTTGCAGCAACTTTCACAAGTTTTCGCGCATGGGGAAAACTTGAGATTTCGCGGTATCCACATGTGACGGTATTTACTCTTGCTGACACCGATTCGCGCTCTGCAATTCGCGAATTAAGTAATTCGTTGTCCAGTTTTGTTTCAAGTCTCGGTTCGGCCAAGAAATTACACTTGTGTTTTGGATGAGAAGGTAGTGTATTCGGGTATCCTTGCTGGTATATTGCGCTTGCTCACTTACTGTACTGCCAAATTGGAGGAGGGTGTATCGGGAGGAAATTTCGGAGAAACTTCGTCTCGATAACCTCGCATTCAGGGCCCATATCTGTACAGTCAGACTCCGGAAACGACTAAGTCCGAGGCCTATTACATGTAATCAAGGGCCACAAAACAATAAGTCTGATGCATTCAGTGATGAAAATTAGACTAGTCTGAAAATCCATTTTCCACCACGTGCAAGGTCTGATTCGTCAGACTAATCAGACTAAATAGTCTGATAGCGTCAGCCCTCAGAACATGGTAGACCTGTTCGTCACTCAGTAGAACGAAGCAACGTGGAAGCACACTAGACTAGAAACATCCGCCCATTCAGAGTGTTAGGGGACCAAGCAGATCTTCTCAGAACAGAGATGCAGAGACAGACCGCAGGAGGTCAGTTGTCGCACACTCCCTTCTTCAGCTTGACTTTGTCAGGCAGGCACACGCGGGTTGATTTGACGAGCTTGTCGATGCAGTCGTATCCGTTGACTTTCCTGTAGCAGCCCTTGCTGCCCCGGAAGTACTTCACCTGAAGGCCCGTGCACCTGTCGCCTGTCCCCACCACATATGCATTCGCACGCGGGCACGTGCCCTGAGTGTACGACATGGCGCTCGCAATGCATGCCTGGGGGGGAGGGAGTAAGGCGAGGTGGGAAGATGGAGTTAAGAAGGAAAAGAGACAACAAACAAGGGAGAATCAGCGAGTTAATTGAGGCAGGAAGCACAAAGGAGACGGCACATCAGCTTTACGAGGACGGGCGGAGAGGCATAAGCAGAGCAAAGTAAGGCAAAGATGCACGACAAGTGAGTCAATGAAAGAGAGGGAGGAAACTTGGTCCACAAAGAACAGCAAAGATGCATGAGCAGAGCCGCTACCACACACACACCTCAAACCCAGTGAAGCTGCCAACATCAGTGTTTGGAATGAGGCGGTTGCACTTGATGCCGGGGTTGAGACGGAAGAAGTCAACGGGGCTCAGAGGGGGGTAGGGCACATTGCGGATGGACTCGCACGTCTCTGCGCTCTGCACCAGGTAGTACTGGGAGCACACCGGGATGAGCCCCACATTATTCTTTATGCGCTCCACACACACCGCCTGATCAGGCTGCAGCAGCCCACCGTTGGCAGTGCAGTCCAAGCTGGGGTTGAGCGCCTGGAAGTCTACCCCTAAGTAGCCTGCTATGCCCTCACAGGTGTCGCCCTGAGAAAGAGATGCACAAGGAGATGGGGTGAGGGAGTGCGAGAGATCTCCCCAGCAAAGAGAGTGAGGTGAATGGGGCAGTTGAAATGGGTTTAAGGAGGAAACCAGGGCACATACAGGTATACGTAGAGATGCAGATAGGGGAAGTTAGGGAAAAGGAGGAAATAAGGGGTATAAGGATATGGCATATTGGCTTGAAGGGTGGGAGATGGGAACCTGCTGAGTGGTGTAGAAGACGGAGCAGGGGATGAGAGAGGCTGGGCTGGCCACATTGAGAACGGTGGAGGGTGGGATGGGTGCTGCACACGACACCGATGGCTGCACACACCGAGGGAGAGGCATGAAGGGACAAGGCACACACCCAGTAAATCATGGGGGGAAAGGAGTTTGTGTGTGAGTGGCGTGGTGGAAGAAAGGAATGGCAACTGCGTGACCAGAACGAGCATCTGGTGAGGGAGTCGAGTGATAAGGAGGATGAAATGAAGATACATGCAAAGATACGGGAGAGTGGGTGGTGAAGATAGGGCAGAGGTGTGGATACGGGAGTCACAAGCTTTGGTACTATAAATTCAGTCAAACCGGTATGGAGAATTCTCAAGGTTGCGGGTAGCGTCCTATGGATTCGCTTGTAGCAGTTTTGAGAATTTTCAAGCTTGCAGAAGACGCACGTTCTGGTCTTGGAACTGGGCGAGCGTGAGGCCGTAGACCGGGAAGACATCGGAGCAGCGGACGTTGGGAGAGAGCACGGTGTAGGTGGTGTTGGTGTCACCTGCATGCACCACAGCATGCAACACAAGTATGCCACACATGCATGCAGCACAGGTGTAGATTCATCAACTGTTTTTAAGATAGGATGGATCTCTTTGGGATTTCTTGCTGTTTGCCCTCCTTGAACACATGTCGTGCTTAAGGCTATTTGTGTTTCCTGGTAGACGGTTGAAGTCTGCTCATATCTATTCACAGAGAAGGTACCAGGAGCATTGGAGTGTTGAAACGAACTGTTGTCATGAGCAACCTGCAGGGTACACTTGGATTTCAGGTTGGATTCGAACTGAAAACCTTTCAACCTGGCACAGCATGTGTCATAATGGCATATTGTATGGTTCACAAAACTCAAGAGGTCCGAGCCTGCAAACTTTGAATCTAAGTGTCACGAGAAAAAAAAAAAAAAAAAAAAAATGGAACAGTTATGGCGAAACTGGTCAAAGGCTGCATGTGGATAGAAGACTCGGCGGCGAGGTGTCGCAGCCAATGAAATTTGTATGCATAGAATCTTGCCAAGTTTTGTCGTGATGCAAGTCCGGCTGAACCTCTCTCTCATTGAAGCCTTCCACCCCCTTTCCCCCTCCACCCTTTTATTCTCTCACTTCACTGTCCCTTCCCTCCATCAGGTGAACCACCCTGACCCTTGTTCCTCCTGACATATGTCATAAGCTTCTCTCCTTCCCTCCTCGTGTATCAGTACTCCCGACCCCCGCACTTCCTTCACCTTCCACCGTTCAGGACCCATGGCTAGGTCCAGCGTGTCCCTCTTCGCCTTCCTCAGATATACCTCCTGTCCTGCAGATATGGCTTCTCTGTGCTTTCCGTTACCCTCTTCCTTGCGCTGCTGATGTCGGCGTGCATCCCTCAGCTATGCTACGTGCAAATTATCCAAGGCTGCTGGTGTCGGCTCCCTCAGGTACCGTGCCCTCTTCTGTGCCACTTCGGCCCATAAACCCGGCTCGTCCGCATCCACGGCAACCGACAACAGCTTCGGCGCACCCACAGGTAAGACTGGGTCTCGACCGTACAGCAGATGATAGGGTGACAGATTCTTCAGAGCAGACTGCTTAGCAAACCTGTATCCCGCCAGAATCCAGGGAAGCTCCTTGTCCCAATTCCTCTTGTTATTCTCCCCGTATGCCCTCAGTCCCTTCTTCAAAGTCTGTATCATTCGTTCAGTCAACCCATCCGACTGCGAGTGGTACCTTGAAATCACCCGATGAGTAATCCGGTTCTCCTTCAGCATCTCCTCAAAGCTACCTTGAAATTCAGTCCCCCGATCAGTCAGAACCTCCCCGCAAGCTCCGTACCTGGTGAGCACCTCTTGCACGAATGCCTCTGCAATCAAGCCGCTATTCTTGCTGGACAAGGCCCTGGCCTCCACCCACTTGCTGGTATGCTCTATCATTACCAGGATATACTGCTTTCCTTTGGTGGACAGCGGTAGCTCTCCTGCCAAATCCAACGACCATCACTACCCCAAACCTCGGATCGGTAGAGACTGCAGCTCGTCTCTTTCTCTCTCCAAAGCAGCCTTGTTTCGCTGGCAGGCTTCGCAAGCTGCCACCATTGCAGCCACGTCCTTCCTCATGCTTGCTCACCAGTACATAGTGCTCAGCAGCTGTCGAGTCCTGGCTATGCTGTAATGCCCCAGCTTCCCATGAACCTTTAGCATGATCCTCTCCCGGTCTTGAGGCTGTGGTACGACTCGCCATCCTTCACTGGTGCGCAGTTGTAGCTAATCCTGAAACCATCGGTAATGCTGCCCCCTAGCCCTGGCTCGTTCGCTTACTCCTGAGTCATCTAATGGCTCCCCTTTTATCCACCCCATGGTCTCCTGATCCTCCCACACATCCACCTGCCGCTGCTCTCCCTTCTCTTGCCCCTAGGTCACTTGTGCCACCTGTGCTAACGCTATCAGCTGTGCAACTGGCTGCATCGAAGGCGGGTTCCTGGATAACCCATCCGTGTGCTGCAGTGTCTTACCCGGTCGGTGGCGGATATCGAAATCAAATCCCAACAGTTTAATTGCCCACCTGGCGTTCCTGCCCGTCAGTTCCTGGTTTTTCATCAACCATAGCAAGGGCTGATGGTCGGTCACTAGCGTGAAGTGCCGGCCTTGCAGGTACACTTTGAAGTGAGTGATACCCCACACAGCGGTCAGTCCCTCCCCTTCGTACGAGCTGTATTTAGCTTCAGTAGGGCTGCAGCTGCGACTGGCGAATGCTATGACTCTCTCTTCCCCATCTATTTCCTGGCAGAGCACTGCCCCCATCCCCATACTGGTCCAGTCGGTGTAGAGAACGAATGGCGCATCCGCCCGAGGTATCTGTAGCAGGGTACCCGTCTTAACTGCTTCCAGCAGGTCCTGCCTGGCTGCTTCCTCCGTATCTCCCCACTGCCAACCCTTCCCCTCTCTGAGCAGCTGGTTCAAGGCGTGCGCTCGGCGACTGAAATTCGGCACGAACTTCATGTAGTAGTTCAGGAAGCCCAGAAGTGCCTGTAGCCCAGATTTGTCCTTCGGTGCAGCCAAATCTTCCAGCACCTTGACTTTAGCTTCCTGTATTGCCAGCCGGACCCGCCTCACCTCAAACCCCAGGTACGCCACTGTACGGCGGGCTATCTTGCACTTGTCCGGGTGACACGTAAGTCCTGCAGCTGCTATCGCCTCCAGAGTCTGCTTCAAGTCCTGCACGTGCTGTTCGTCGCTTCCACTGAAGATGAGCACATCGTCGATGTAACAGGCTGCCGCTGGGATTTCCTTCAGCACCTGATCCATAGCCCGTTGAAACACTGCTGGCACGTTGCGCAACCCAAATGGCATCACGTTGTATTCGTACAGCCCATCCACTCCGTGGAAGGCCGTTTTTCGCTTGTCCCCCTCCTTGATAGCGATTTGGTTAAATCCTTGTCGTAAGTCCAGCGTGGAGAAGATCGTTGCTCCTTCTAGTTTATCGAAGATATCATCCGCAGTTGGCATGGGATATCGGTCCGGGCTGGTGATCTTGTTCAGGTCCCTAAAATCCCCGCACATCCGCTTCGCTAACACTTTCCCCGTGATGTCTTTTCTGGCAGCTACTACCGTGGCTGCTGCATAACTCGACTCTGACGGGCGTATTATCCCTGCTGCCAGCAGCTCCTCGCATTTCTCCTTGCAGATCGCCGCATCTTCTGCATTCATCCGCCTCCTGCGCTGATAAGTGGGCAACTCTGTGGTTAAGTTTAACTCCAACTCTCTCCCTTTGTTTCTTTCCAGCTCCTGTACGTTGTAAGCGAAAGTACCTCTGTGCTGCTGCAATACCTGTCTGATTGCTTCCGCCGCCTCCTTCTTTATGTCAGCTCCCATCTCCCATCCCTTGCCTGCTTCCATGTCCCTGACCCCTGCCTGCGTATCTGTAGTATTCCCCTTAGTGGCTATCTTCTCGACTGCTGCGTATGCTGCTTGCTTATAACACTGACCCCCTTGTCTTTCCTGCTTCCCTCCCTGCTGCCCTGAACCCTTCCGCGTCTCAGTGACCAACCATCTCAGAGAATGTTGATCAATAGCCCTGCCCAAGGCTGCTCGGCGAGTCTCTTCCCCCACTCCCTCCGCTGCAGTGGCTCCTGGAAAGTACCCCATAGCCAGCTCTCGTTCCAAGGCGATTGGCTCTTCCCACTTCCCTTTACGGTGATCATACACCATCCCTGGGCCGGGATTCCCGTCCTGCTCGATAAAGCCTCGTGCTTTCGCGTAAGCCACTAACGTCGGCCAGGCTCTTCGCGCTTCCCCTACCCGGTTGCATTGGTACTGTAGGGGGTGATCCGGTTTGACCACTGGAGCAGCTACCCTCCCTGGTTCGATGATGTCCTCCACAATCCTAGTCCCATCTCGCTCTACTTTCGCCAACCGAGCCCGCAGCTCCCCTTCAGGCAGGACATTTTGCCAGAAGCGCCGAACCCGGTGTGTTAGTGCCCCCAGCTGCGCCCCGTCACATCTAACTCCTTTTCCCAATTCTGCTTCCACCAGCTCGCGTACTGCTCGGACCGGCTCCCTAACGTCACCACTCATGTCCACATGCTCTAGAATGTAAGCGTACTCTCCTCCTACCTCCCTCATCCATCTCATGGTTTCCAGTAGCGTTGTCACTAACCCCATGCGCTCATCTTGCAATCCCTTTCCCTTCCCTGCCCTCGAGGTACCCTGGCACTCCCAGCCGGCTACTAGCAAGTCCACTTTTCCCCACTTCTCTACGTCTTCTTTGGTAATCTGCTTCACATCCCATTTCTTGTTCTGCATGGCATCCTTCACCACATCTTTCCTCAGCCGGGCGGGGTACCGCTGCTGCAGTACCTGTGCGTGTTTCCAGGCCATCCTCCGGACTTCGGGATCTACCTCCACATAGATCCACTTCTTCACCCTCAGGCCGGCCTCTAGCGCTGCTGCTAAACCGGCTCCCAGCCCCCCGAACAGCTCCAATAGTGTGACACTGTACTGGTCTATGCTTGCCCCCGGCCGGATTTCCATGATCTTCCCAACGCTTTTACTTACTCCTCTCCCCATGCCTCCTGCCCTCCAGGCTTTCTTTGGTTCAGTCTTGATGAAACGCAGCGGCAGCTCACTCAGCTCCTTCCCTTTTTCCCAGAAATCCGAGCGGTATAGCACTTGCTCCTGCCATGTGCATATCGTAGTCCCTATCTTGTAGAGCAGCTCCATTCCCAGTAAAATGTCGTAGTCGTCTAATTCTGTCAGTCCGCACTGCACCCTTATCGTTGTTTCTCCCTCCCCTCCCGGCTGCAGCGTAATCTCAATCAGATCCTTAGTGCATGGCATCCACTTAGGAGCCCCTCCCTCAGCGGTCACGATCAGTATTCCCCGTCTCACTGTTGTTTCCCAACCTCCTTGCGCCTTTAACTGCTCGGTCAGCTTCCTTCCCAGCAACACACTCTGCGCGCCTGTATCCACCACGGCATTTTCTACTAGTATCCCTCGTACCGCTACAGCCTTCGGTTCCACCACTAGAGCCATGGGCTGGCAGACCAGCCGCTCCTCAGGGTGCCGCCGAGCTGTCTTCAGCTTGTCAGTCCCCTCAAGTGCCTTAGAAGTTATTCTCATCGGCTGCTTCTGCTCCGCTCTACCGTCCTTCCCTCCACTTCTCAACCCCAAACTTTCGCGGTCTCTGGGTGACATGGCCATTGTCCCGTACTCAGCTTCTCCCTCTCCGTAATCTTCCTCTTCCTCGTCTTCCCAAGCTAGTAACGCTTTCTCCGGATCTTCGCTGATCTCCACCTTACCCATCTGAGCTTTCAGCTTTGCTAACTCCCGCTCCAGCTGCTGTTCTCTAGCGGATTTTTCTCCCGCCTTCTCCTTCTTGCTGTAGCACCTCTCTTCAGTATGACCCCGTTTCCTACAGAAGGTGCAGATCGGCGCCTTGGGGCAATTCCGCCTGAAATACCCCTTCTCCTTGCAGATGTCGCATATGATGTCGATGGCGCAATCCTTTCGCAGATGCCCTAGTTCCCCGCACTTGTGACACCGTCGCTTGTCTTCAAATTGTTTTTCTCTCCGTTCTTCTTCCATCCGCTTTCCTTCCACCGCAGCCCACGCAGGCCTCCTGCGTTCGCCTGATCTTCCTGAACTTGCTCCGCGCAACCCATCAAAGAACCTTCTTCCCTCCTCTACCTCTTTCGCCACCTGATACATTTGCCGCAATTTCGCCTTCATCCCCAGCGCGTACAGCTGGCTCCGCATATCTTGCATCAAGTCTTCCTCCAATCCTCCCACAAATTTCGACACTAAGGTCTGTTCTTCAAGGCAGACCATGTCTTCTGCCAGCTCCAACAGTCGATTGTAGTACGCTAGCTGTCATCCGATCCGCAGAATACCCCGGAAATTGTTCTCGCAGGCTGTCCAGGAATCTGTCGGTGATTTCCGCCGGTGCGAAGTCTCCCCGTTTACTCTGCAGCAACAACCCTTGTCTCTGCACCCGGTAGTGTGTCAGCGCTTCTCCCTTTAGCGTTCTCCCTAATTCTCTAAAGAATTCAATGGGATCGAACCCCTCTCTCTCCCAGCAGTATCTCGGATGTCATCCACCATCATCAGGTAATTTTTCAGTGTGGGCTCCTCTCCAGGCGCTCCTGAGAAGCGATCCGGCCTCCATCGATCGTAATTCCAGCCGAGAATCCGTGAAACGCCTCTCCTTCTCGCTGGCTCCGCTGATCTTCCTGATGGTCTCCCCTTCTTGGTTCTGGAGTTCCACACTGCGATACTCCAACCCCGACCGATCGAGATCCCATCCCTGGCGCGGGCGAATTGCAGTTAGAGCTCAGTGGCGGCTCCCCACGTCTGTCGCCCTCCTTTCCTTGATCCGCGCTGCTATTACCACTCACGTTCGCTGTTCCTTCTCCAGCTCGAAACCCAGGCGTCTTAGTCCGCTGATCTTGTCCCTCCATCCTCCGCGCGGGAAATCTGTGACCTGAACGCAGCTGATGAGTATGTAGCTCTTGATCAAGGCCGCTCATCCCTTACGGTGCATCACCGCAGGTCCTCCAGGCGTTTGCACCTTTTCTGCTGAGATTTCAGCGCTACAACTTTTTGCTTGTATAACTTTTTACTTGTATGAACAAGTCTTAACTCCCTCGCAAGGGCTCAGTCAGATTGCTCCTGCTTCTCCCTACTGCTAGTTTCCTTTGGCTTAGGAAAACAAGATTACAGTAAGAAGAGAAACATACAAGCAAAAAGCGAGAAACCAGAGTGCTACCCCTGACTACATTCCCTCCTCCTCCTGCCTAGGCCTTCCTCCGCATGCTAGCTCTAAGGCCAGACGCGAGTCAGCCGAGCTGCTCGTGATGGCTCCTAGGTGCTAGCTGGGTCCCACTGGGCCACTAGCCATGCACCGCCTTCCAGCTGGGATCGAGTTCCTAGCCTGGAAACGCATTCCCAGCTGGAATTGCATTCCCAACCTGGAATCGAATTCCCAGCTGGAACTGCATTCCCAACCTGGAATCGAATTCCCTCTTCCGCACCAACCTCCTCGAATTTCCCTGCACTTGGCTCTGTAAAGCGTATGTACAGTTCATACCAAGCACACAAACAAAATTAGAGTACAAGACCAGAAATGCACAATTACCTGGCTGCTGTGTAATTCACACCTTAGCCGTTGGCTAGGTGTTAATAACGCGACAATTTGCAAAACGTTCTGAGTAGCGCGCCTATTTATGCTTTGTTTTGTGTGCGTATTACGGTACAATCAGAAACACTCAAGAGACCACCACTCACGTTTTTGTATGTACCTCTGATTATAGTTGATCGTTTTGTGCAATTCTTGATGCACAAACATCGTGCTTCTGAGCTCTACTGAGCTGCTTTAGTAGTGGAAATCTACAATGAGGTACCTGGAGCACAGGAGAAGGTGCCATCGACGGTGGTGCCCTGCCTGAAGCCTGGTGGACACACACAGGAGTATGACCCCGCCCCATCGTTCACACATGTTCCCACCGCACACGGGTTGCGCTTGGCTGCCTTGCATGCATCCTCTGATGCCGGGTGCAACGGGGTGGGAGGAAAACGGTCGGGAGGGGAGGGAGGAGAGTGAAAGGGAGGGAAGGGATGAAAGAGAGAACACGGTGGCAGCAATGACAGGAGGCAAGCAGCCGCAGCCGCAGCAGCAGCAGCACTGGTGGTGACGGCAGCAGTAGCAGCAGCAGCAGCAGCAGCAGAGGCTTACTGTAGGTGCATGTGCGAGAGCCGTCGGAGTTGGTTGCTTGGATGAAGCGTGGATCGTTGCAACCACACTCGTTTGTCTTGCCCTTCGCAGTGCACTTGAACTTGCCACAGGGATTAAAGAACGAGCCAGTGCTATCATTGCGGGCGGCTCTGTTACAGGGGTCAACGGTGGCTGCAGGTAGAAAGAGGGTGGAAGAAGCAAGCAAGGTGATCAAGCACTGCGGAAACGGAGGTAGAAAAAAAAACCGGAAACGAAAAAAAAGAAACCAGAGATGGTGGAATAAGCTGAAACCCAGAAACGGTGGTATGATTTGCACTGGTGTGTACAAGGAAAACCATCATGCAGCATGCACTCCCGTACCGTTGACCATGCCATCACCTTTCATCTTATACTCTCCTTTAGCATGTACTCACTCACACTTGACAGTGCACTCGCTCACCTCTAACAATGCACTCACCTCTCATATTACACTCACCTCTAACCAGAGGGTAGAGGCCTGGCAGCGAGTTGATGCCGCACACGCCATCCCCCCCTTGGATGTCCATGCGCATGTGGCCCCCATCCCCCCAGTCAGGTCCCCATGAGTTGCGGATGATCCAGAAGGGCGGCGCCATGTGGGGGAAGCGTGAGTCCTTGCCCACCAGGCGGTACCCCACCAGCAGCACCACGTGGTTCAGGTTGTACGTGAAGCAATCGGGATCCTGGTACTTGGACAGCTGGGAGAAGGCAGGTATGGGTCACATGTTTTGGAAAATTCCTGGGTAATGAGTATGGGTTGAAGACGCCAGGACGCAACAAATACTGCATCCACTCGTCTTCAAATGTGAAACAGGTGCTACAAACACAGCCATTCCGTTCACTGACACACCCTCCTACCTACACAGTTACATGCATCCTCCCATTCATTCACATGGCCTCTTATTCGTTCACATCACACCCCTTCATTCTGTCATGCGAAGGCCCCGCACTGCTCGCCTCACCCCATCGTAATTCTTGAACGATGCGGCCGATGCCTCAATGTGCACCACCACTGGCTGCCGCTGCACGGCCAGCAGCAGCCCAAACCAGCCGTAGAAGGACGTCGACTCGAAGCCCTTAATGGGGAACCCACCGGGGACCTGTCGGGGAAGGACTGGGTGTGGACGAGGACCGACGCATGGAAGGATAAGGTATGGAGATCGAACACCGAAAGCTCTAGCTTCGAACAGCATGCAGGCATATGAGCACTCAGAATCAAAGGAACTTGAGCTCGAGCTGGGAGCAGCAACGCAGCTATCCCAACGACGTGGCAGCATGCGTTGATTCAAGCCAGCTTTGCTGTGACAACCTCACTACCCTCACAGGTACGCTGTCATTGGCCTTGCTGCACGTCACACCAAACAGCTTGGCCAGTGGCTTCAAGAGCGGCGCGCAGAGAGGATTACTGCTGCCTGCCTTCGAGGACTTCTTGCCTTTCTCGACCGCCCACTGGCCCTCCAACACGAGCCCGCCACCTTTTTGCGCCAGCTTGAGCAGCAGCTGGAAGGCCTGAGAGGGCGTGCTGCCAGAGCAGCCGACCTTCATGGCGGCCTTCAGCTGCTCCACTGACAGCACTGGCGCCGCTGAGGTGTTGGCAAGAATGCCGAGTGCCGCCTCGATGCTGCCCACCACTGCGTACGCCCAACAGTCGCCTGCCAGGCAATGCATGGGTTGCATAGAGAAAACACATGGGTAGTGAGGGTTGCATACAGGAAACATCTGGGTTCGTTCCATGGGTCGCATAGGGAAAACACATGGTTGGGTGTTTAGGATAGGCAAGGTTGCACGCAAGCAATGTGTGAAGGCTGCTGGTTATCAGCAGCAGATAACGTAGTACTGGGCCAGTAATATCAACCTAGGCATGAGCAAAAGACGAGCCAAAGGAATACCTTACTCAAGTCAAGCTTACTCAAACTAATATCAAGGTGGGACAAGTGTTGCTCAAGTCGAGCATTTTCTTGCCCTAACCCGCCTCGTCTCCATTTCCATCTCCTCCTCCACCCTCCTCCACGCTTCACCTATTCCCTGAAATCTTGTTTGTACCCAGGCCAGACCATTCAACCCCCTGTCTCTTCACTAATCTGAACGACCTATCTCATCACTGATCTGAACAACCTACTACATCATGTAGCTAAACCCAAGCGCCGGCGTTCAAGAAGAGCAAACCATCAAACAACGCCAAGAGAATCGAAGGATTAATACACACCTGGCCTGGCGGCCGGGTGAGTGCCAACAAAAGAAGGCAAGATAAAGACATTTGTCGGACCACACAAATGCAGAAATATGACATCAGTGTCATAACTGAGGCTTACAATTGATACATTAGTAGTGAAGCTCATAGCTCTTTAAGTATATCAGAAATGAGTAAGGTATGGATGGGGAGGGAACCGGGGGCAAATTCTAGGGGATTGGGGGTAATCCCAAGGCAATCTCCAATTCGTGGGTTGGAGATTGCTTGGAGATCACATTTGGGTTTGGTTGGGATGTTGGTGTACACCCAACCAAACACAAAGTGCAAACTACATTAAGCTAAGAATATAAAAAGTACAAGTACAAAACGTGAGATTGGTGGCTAACACTAACACCCCCTTATGGACGTCGATCGAACTCAAGGCAGAAAAGGTGGGGCACACAACCCCATGGCGCCAAGAAGACGATGGTGAGGAACCTTCCCAAGGGGCTTGGTGAACAAGTCCGCCAAGTTGCAGTCTGATGCAACGTACTCCACATTCAGCTGATCACGCTGGACCAGGCCACGGATGAAAAAGTGGCGAAGTTCGATGTGCTTGGTGCGAGTGTGAAACACGGGATCCTGGGAGAGGTAGATGGCACTCTTGTTGTCGAACCAGAGGGTGGGGGTGGTCTGAGGGTAGCCAAGCTCCTCGAGGAGGAAGGTGAGCCAACGGGCCTCTTGAGACGCCATGGTCCCAGCGTAAAGCTCTGCCTCATAGGAGGAGAAGGAGACCGCAGACGACCTGGTGGAGCGTCAGCTAACAACTCCACTGCCAAGGGTGAAGCAGTAGCCTTGGGAGGAGTGTCGGTCGGCCTGGTCATCAGTTTAAGAGGAGTCACTGTAGCCCTCCAGTCGAGGAGGAGAAAGACCACCAAGTGTGAGGACATGAGTCTCGGTGCCCTGCAGATAGTGCAGCACCCGCTTCGCTACCTTCCAGTGGAGATCGGTGAAGCGTCCAGGTCAGGCCGGGTGCGCATCATGGCGTACATGCGGGACCCAACAAGCTCCGGGTATGGCTCGGAGCAGGCATCTGGTGTGGGTATGGCTCTAAGTTGGTCATTTACGTTTACGTTTATGTACGTACGTGTACGGGTACGTACGTTTACGTGGTTGTTGGGTTGGAGGCCTAATGTACAGGCAGGTGAAAGAATTTCTGGGCTGCCCAAATATGTATATTTTTTCTATAGTACTCCCTCGTAATCATGATTTCCATCTTATAGTGTAAACATTCCATTACAACCTCGTAATTTCCCAAATAACAAAAACACCATCATGCACGCGTCGTGCAGAATATCATATCATCCTCACTCCTTTGGCTCTTCCGCTTCCTGGCCATCAAGATATGCCTCATCAGGGATGTCGTCGTCATCGAGATGCCCGTAGCTATCAGTAGGTTCCTCCTTAACTTGGACCACAGGAAGCCCACTCACCACCAGCTTCTTAGCAAGATCCTCATTCAACTTCTTCACTGTGTGATAGTTGTGGCTCACGTACACCAGGTCGGCAAGGCGTTTCGGTCCAAGGCGATTACGACGAGCTGTATGGATTGACTCCCAAACGGCCCAGTTCGTCTCGCAAGGGGAGGCCGAGACGCATTGCTTGAGAACTCTCCTTGCAAGCTTGGAGAGGTGGGGCACGTCCGTGCCATTGAATTCCCACCAGTGCGCCGAATCCAAAATCCCAGCTTTGATGAGTTCATGTTCATCACGCGCTTTTTGATCCCCAATGTCTCCCTTCCCCTTGGTGTATGTCAAGACCTCTTTTTCGACGAAGGTTGCGAGTGGCGCCATCACCCCTCCCACTTTCACGAACTCACCCTTGTAGTAATTGCGAATGAATTGCATGAATATCTTGGTACACTCCACGTCCGTTCCAAATATTGACTCGTGTTGGTTTGGCGGGTACAGAATCCGTCCGACCACGTGAAGCGCGCAGTTGATGTCGTTGTTCCACCGATTCCGCACGATGTCGGTCACATCCTCCTTCTCCTCCTCGGTCAGCTCCTTACACGCCTCCTTCACCGCGTCCTCCAAAACAAACATTTTGTCATAGATCTTGCCCATCACCTCCTGATTGCCGTCAACATTCCGCAACAGCTTATAGACCGGACGAAGCACATCGAGCACCGTCCCAACGCGCTCCCAGAACTCTTTGTCGATAACAGTATCCCATGCGTCCTTCATTTTCGGCTTTCCCTTGACGTACTCCTCCCAATCCTCACTCAACACCAGCTTGTCGAGAGTTTTGCGCACTGCTTGCAGGCGTTCGAGGGCGATGTAGTTTGTTCCAAAACGAGTGCCCGCTGGTTTCAAGATTTGTAGCGCCTTCTCCTTCCGAAGAACCCCCGTAATCCAATGCGCGTTCTTCAGCGTCATAATTAGCTATTGCGCACGGTCGATGGTATCCTTGGCCCAATCAAGTTGGCCAATGTCCTTCATCATTAGATTGAGAGTATGCGTAGGGCAACGAATCCACTGAACTTTTGGGTAGTCGCGGGCGATGATGCTGGCAGCGCTGACATTCGCGGACGCACCGTCCATCAGCAGGCCGACTACGTTCTCCGTTCCCACCATGACCATTGCCGTCTTCAAGTGGCCAGCAATGAATTCTGCTCCCTTCTTCTCCGTGCCACAATCCACCCCAAAAAGAAATACGGATGCAATCGTATTGTCAGCTAGGAAGTTCAGCTGCGGACGTCCTTCGCTGTCTGTCCAACCGTCACACGCGATGCACACCCCGACATCCTTCCATGAATCCTTCACCTCCTTCAACGCAGTGTCGGTGTTCGCCTTGCACTCCTCCAATAATCTTCCCATTATAAGCCGTCGTCCAGGAGGAGTAAATCCAGTACCAGCAGCAGCAACCATTTTCAGCATCGTCTTGAAAGCATCGTGCTCCGCAACATTCGGTGCAATACGACACACGTGGAAAAACGTTGCGATGGCTAGTTGCGCACTCGCCGCGTCGACAGGTTTGGGTCGAGTATCCATAAGCATACGTTGCGTCGCCTGTCTCTAGCGCGCCATGCTGCTACTTTCCGCTAAGTTCGAGCCACTCCCCCCCATGCTCGCCGACTTGGTGTTCGTAGTAGATGCCGGCGAGAATGCATCGGACGTTTTCTGTTGCGTTTTCTCGCGAGAATCAGAGTCCCTTTTTCTTATCATCCATCGCGGAACGGATTTTCTCCTTATCCTCAGGTGTAGCTGAGGCGCATGGCGTGATTCCGCTCCCAGGAATTCCGAGAATGTGTGCCTGAGCTCGCGCCACATTCAGTTTCCACGACTTACCACATCGCTTGCATAATTCGCTAGCGTAGAATCAGACTTTCCGCCCTCAGGAAGAATGAAGCATCGCCACACGGGATGCTCGGAAGCGGTCTGCATAGGGGTCTCCATAGTACTAGTATAATATGTTGGAGAGCTGATTGAGTAGATTGATTGATAAGCTAGCTGTGATCTTGGGTTTAGCGTGGTGACTTTTTCATACTTATTAGCTATAGCTGCAAAATAGTTCTTTGTCGTCGCGTCGCATTGTTAGTTTCTGGTTAGGACTCGCGGAAGGTGCAGGCACGCGTTTGCGCGTCTTACGGTAGGTGCAGGAAAGTCGCTCGATGTAAATTTGGATTTGACGCGGCGAATTGGTTTGACTCGAAGTTGGGATTCCCCGAAACCAGTAAAGGTCGGCGGTGACGAAATGGCCGAGCGGGTGACATTCGCTTACCTTGCAAGTGAAGCAATTGCGATCTGAGTCAAACTATTCGCAATGTTCTATCGCGAACAGTATGTACACATTCAGATCCACTCCCGCCACAATTTCCTCCCTCCCTCTCTCGACAGACTTAGCTATCGAGTTCTACCGCCTTAGTCGACGTACGTAGGGTAGTCGCCACACCATAGCAACCCTAGCTATCAACCCCCTGTTTCTTACATTACTACTTCGAAATTTCTCCTCGATTTTTTTTTGACCTGCCCGACGTACGTACACGTACGTACGCGTACGTACACGTAAACGTACATGTACGCGTACGTTACGTGTACGTGGGCTGAAATGGCGTAAATGACCAACTTAGGTATGGCTGGAGCTGTGAGGAGGTGCCACAGCGGCAGCGGGGTGGCCATAGGTGTGCACGATTCCATCTCAAACCGCTTGAGGACGTTGTCGATGTAGAACTCCTGGGAGAGCCAGATGGTGCGAGCCTGACGATCACGAATGATCTCCATCCCCAGGTAGTGCTTGAGGTCACCGAGGTCCTTCATCAAGAGGGCCTTGGAGACGACGATGAAGTCATCGACGTAGACAAGAATGTAGAATGGCTTAGAGTGACGGCGAATAAGAAGAGTCGGATTAGCATATGATGGGTGAAAGTCCAATGAGAGGAGGACCTCCTGCACCTTGTTGTGCCATTCACGAGGGGCTTGCTTGAGGTCGTAAACAGGGCGATTCAGCTTTCAGACAGTTTTGGGGGGGAACTCTCCCGAAAACCCTTTGGGTCGATCCATGAACACAGTCTCTTTGAGGTGTCCTTGTAGAATGCCGAAGACGCATCCATGGAGTTGTTTTTTCATGTTTCCTCGCGCAGGCGTATCCAAGAGCGTGCGAACAGTGGGTGGTTTGCCCGTGGGAGAGAAAGCCTTGAAGAAGTCTAAATACTGCTGCTGATTGAATCCCTTGGTCAGATAGTGCATTTTGAATACTTGGGCCTCGTCCAGAAGCTGTTTCACTCGAAACATCCACTTGCCTCAAACAATGTTGACTCCTGGTGGAGTCTCGTCGTCGAATCAGTAGTTGCGAGTGAAGGCTTCGCACGCAGCTTCCATGACAGCGCGCCACTCGGCAGCATGGGGACCCGAAAGAGCCTCTTGGACGGTGAGAGGGATAGGGATGGTCGAAATCTCCAAGAAATTGAGCGAGGATGAGTCAGTGATATTGGGAAAGATGTGCCAGAGCTGAGGAATGACAGCGTGAAGATCACACAGCTCCTCATGCCTATCTTCCAGAAGGGTAGAAGACACATCACCCCCAGCAGGAGGAGTCGAAGTGATCATTGAGCACCGAATGGCGAGTGCAAGTGGAAGTGTAGGCTTACGAGTCCGAGTGCCATGAAAAACCGGGGATGAGGGTGGAGCGGGAGGGGCCGTAGGGGTTGGGTCAGGAGGTGGGGCCGGAGGGATCGGCCGTCGCTGGTACGTGATCGGTGCACTCGGTGGTGGGAGTGCGGGTGGTAGAGTGGGAGAGGGGAGGGATGGAGGAGCAGTTGCCGAGGATACTGGTGAGGTCGGGTTAGAGACCTTTGAGGGGAATGGTGCTATGGAAGGATTAGTAGAAGGTGAGGGAGCTGGTGCATGCGGAAGTCCAGGAGGAGCATCAACGTCAGCCCACACAAGAGAGGGTGGTCCGGAGGGAGGATCCCCCCCTTGTCGTGGAGTAGAAGGGGCGAGTCTCATCAAAGACAGCGTCGCGGTTCCGGACTAGTTGTTGAGTAGAGGGGTTGAGGAAGAGGTAGTCAGGAAAGTCGGCATTATGCCCAAGATAGATGCACGTTTGAGTCTTGGGGCCGAGTTTGCCGCCTTGCTGCCGCCGAGCCTAAGGGTTGAGGAGGACATAGGTAGTGCACCCCCAGACACAAAGGGGGCGAGCAGTGGTTGTTTTCCTGGGCTAAAGTGTGGTGAGAGTGGTGTCGGGAAGATGCGGGTGGGGGTAAAGATTGTAGAGGAGGGCGGCATGGTAGATGGCGTACCCCAAAGTGAGAGCGGTGCGTGGGAGTGGCTGAGGAGACAACGAGCGATCTGCAACAAAGTGTGATTACGGCTCTGTGCTATGCCATTCTGCTGCGGGCTGTCAGGAAGGGTGAAGCTTTGCTGGATGCCCGAGGAACAGAAGTCTTCAAGCTAGCTGTTGCAAAATCTACCACCACCATACGAATGGAGGCGCTTGACCTTGGTGCCAAACGTGACCGGCGCCAGTTTAACCCACACCATGATGGCCTATGGAGCCTCAGCCTTAGTGTGGAGGAGGTGCGCAGAGACGTAGCAAGAGTGGTCATCAACTATTGCAAGGAAGTAGCGATGGCCACCTCGTGCGACACCGGGGCAGGGCCCCCAGACGTCAATGTGCTCTAGGTCTAATGGGGCTGTAGCGACTGAGGGTGAGGCGGAGTGAGGTTGTTGGCGCAGCTTGCTCTTGGTGCAGTCAAGTTACGTGGGAGAGGGAGAGTCAGGTGGTGGAGGAAGTGAGGCTGTTAGGCCGAGAAGAAGCTTCTTGGAGGCCATGTCAGCTAGCGTGCAGAAGTTTGGATGCCTGAGCCGATGGTGGTAGAGGATGGTCGAGTTGGCGAGACTGCGACATAAGCATGGTGTGCTAGCAGCCTGTGCTTGGGTGGTTGACACCTGTGGGACATGTAAATGCAGCGTGTAAAGGCCGCTGCTGCTGAGGGTGAAACGAGCTAAGACCTTGTTTGTGAGTGGGTCGATGATGTCACAGCAGTCAGCGTCAGGAGGGAAGATGGTGAAGATGGTGAGAACCCCTGCCTTCTGAAGTTCTTTTTGAGCCACTAGATTGTGGCGTAGTGAAGGCACGCACATGCCAGTGACTGTGCCAGATGGGAAGGTGGGGCACATGACTGTGGACGACCCCTTACATCACAAAAAACCTTGGTTTTTGAAGGGGGGTCGAAGGGGGGTACAGTTCAGGTGTTTTGGTTGGCGAAGTTCCGAAGCCAAATCGCGACCAATCACGGAATGAAATCGGAACGCGTTTGTTTGTCGAAGTCTAGATCGAATCCGCGACTCCGGTACATTGCCGTTTATTTGAAGCGTGCCAGATTTGTTGTGATTTTGTAATTGGTTTTTTAAGCTTTGACTTCCCTAAAATGTGTCTGCTTGAAAATATGCTGGCCATTTTATTACAAGATAAATGCATCACATTTGATACTTATTAAGGAGATAGGTACTGTCCAGGTGGAATGCCTTCACCACATGGACGTGGCGGAGCAGCGCTTCAATCGGAATCACGGAGTACGCGTACATTCCTGTCGTCCACTTGAGGCGAAGACATCCTGTTGCTGTATCCTCTCCGCTTGCATTCCAATATCTAACGTAAGCCAGCTCCTCCCTCTCTCCACGTATTTTTGTATGGAACAACAGAAGCAACCTTGCATACCACTCCTCTCTCCGACCATACCTTACACCCTCCACTGCAACATCCGAGTACCATGGCCTCTCAAAATAGTCAGGGGTTGCTCGAACGAAGTGAGAAACTCTTGAGAAGCTGGCGTCGTCTGCTGCAGGGATTGCCAGCGATGCATGGGCCTGCATAACAGTTGATGTTAGTCATGATGATACGAGCCAGCCAAATGATGGTTGATTGCATAAACTTGCAACTACTTACTCGAATCTTGGTGACGCATCATGCATAACACATAAGCGCATCCTTGAGGGCAGCTTGGGCACGAGGGTGTTGCTTGGCCCACTTCCTTGCAAACCAGTTGGTGGAGGTGGGTTCTTGTGGTAACTCCACAGGGAGGAAGTATGACTCCTTGATGAGCGTCCGTGTGTCGGTCTCAATCGCCTGCCAACATATGCTATTGATATTATTACATTCTGCATTCACATATCCATGCAATTCAAGCACTAAACAGATTTACCTGCCGCATGGCGGTGTCCCGGCCAGCAGGATCATCCACCGGCACCACATCCGGAATGCGCCTAGCATGGAACTTCATGATCTGCCCATCTACATTGCGCTTGTTGGACCGACGGTAGATCCTCTTTACCAACGGTCCGTGCAAGTGCTCGAACATGTTGGTGCTGAATTCAGTCACATGACCCGCGCGACGTATGGAGTCGATGTAGTGCGACATGAGATGTGTTTTCACAAGGCACCAAGAGGATGGCTGCTTTGGAAACGCAGCCTGCAACTGCTCAACGAGCCTGATGGGAGTGGGAGATGACAACACATGCAACCACAGAGTCTACTTATTCATATGGTTTCTTATTCCTGATCCTTTCCTATCAAAGTTTAGCACCAAACATCCTCACAAGATTGCCTACTACAAGAGCACATTTACAGTAGCCAAGCATTCATCCCATGCACGGGGGTTTACATGCGTGGTATTATTACCGAGAGGTCATCTTCTTCAGCTCCCGGAGAGACCGCTCAGTGTGCCCCTGAGGCTGGGAGCACAGGATGTACCAGCCAAGATAGGCACGAACGGCATCCATCTGGGGCTGGCGAAGCAGGCCTGCAAAAACAAACACCATGACCTGCAAAGAATGTGGATAGCAGCAAAGGGGACGGTGAGCACAGATGGTGTGAGGAGTTGGGACAAACAATGGCAGCATGAGCAGACTGCTTGAGGGTTTAGGCCAAGACAAGCAACAGGGAATGGAGGGTTCATACCTGCATGACGGCCCTGTGCTCATAGGCCGCCACACATGCTCCGGTCTCGAAGTAGGCGCTCTCCGGCAGGCGCATGTGATTCAGGCGCGTGCGGTCGCGAATGAGAGATAGGCGCCTGCCCATACACATCAGTTCAGCGGTGGCAAAAGGGCAGAAACATGTCAGTAATAGGACAGAACTTATGGTTTGAGTAAATGTGACGAAGATCAACGAATCCAATCCCCAAAACACTGACCTGTTTATCTGCTTCACACGCCGCTTCTTCATCTTGCGCACGACAGCCACAATGTGGCTCATGATGCCCAAGTCCGCCTGGTGCATGATGTCAGGCATCACCACGAGGTAGGGATTGCCCCACGCGGTCCCTGGGACATCCCACTTCCAGAGCACGCACTGGAAATGGGGATGTGGTGGGGAATGGAGGAGAGATGTACGTGAGAGTGGATAGCTAACCTAAACCACAAGTGGGGTGAGTTCAATGGGGCAGAGCACATCTGGCAATTCATGACGGGGCGGGCGAGAGCATAGACTACTCATGGGCCGGGGAAACAGGTCACTCACCTCAACAGGGTAGGTAGAGTAGGCCTTGCACGGGTCAGCCTGGCTAGTTGTCGTCCCAGCCGCCTCGTTTATGATCCATTGCTGCTGTTCAGGCGTGCGCGGCGTGTTCCGTGCCTTGACAGCACTCAGATGCTCCTGTTGTAGCACGGGGGTGAGGGATGGGATAGAAAAGGTAAGGGTGGTAGCTATGTGGGTTCTATCAGGCGACCCACAAACGAGAATGTATTTGAATGCGTGCAGATGGCATGTGACCTCACCTTTGCAGCATAGCAGATGCTGCACGGCATCCGCGATCCATGCAAGAGTGTGCAACTGATCTTGCCGCTCTCGGGGTAGTCGCACACCCAGGCGTACAGCAGGGGCCGCACGGTTTGCCAATCACCGAAAGGGTCCCTGAGACGGAACCCGCTGCAAGGAACAGGTAGAGGGGCAACAGGAATTCGGGTTACGGCTTTTAGGGAGGAACGACGAGGGGCAAAGGGCCATGCTACATACAGAGAGGGTTTGCATACCATGCAGGTGGTGAGATGATGTCTTAGCAAGATGCAAACCGAGTACGGACCTGGCAATGCCATCAAGAAGCGGCTGCAGCACGGTGATGACGCAACGCTGGAAGAGCATCACCTTCTCCACGGCAGACATTGCAGACGGGGGGATAGGAAGGAGGGCAAGTAGTGTGTGCCCGGCTTTCCCCCATCGCTTGGCCTCGGAGATGTTGGCCAGCGTCATCATGAGCGGCCACGCCTTCTTCCGGCCGTTGATGCTCATGTGCGTCACATCCGAATATAAGATGATCCCCCCCACAACTTCGGACCAACCGAAGTGTTCCTGCAGTGCACGACAAAGCGGCAACGGACACACGATTTAACACTCTTGATGCTCTTGACAGATCAGTGCAGCGATGGAGGCATGAGGAAGGATTGGGTTTGGGGTGGCAACGTGGTCTTTCCTTACCTGAGCATCGTTCCACCACGTTCCTGTTTCAGGCGTGGTATAGCGACGGCTGCCTGCGTCAGGGTCCTCATCAACACGCGCCTTGAGCTTGAAGCCGGGCGCGTTGTTGGGATGTCCAAACATTTCAGCGAATGCCTGGTGTACGGTGGCGAAGGCAGGTGAGAGGAGAGGCATGGTTAGTGGTGGTGAAGGTGGGTGTACGGTTAATACAAGGATAACTACGTACATGCAAACCCTGTGTGCCTCATCATCATTTCACGGCCTTGAATGCAAAGTCGGCTTACCTGGGCTGAGTTCTGAAAGAGCAAGCGCTGTGGTGGATGACCGTCAATCTCGAAGGTCGCCACCGACCATCCGCGATTGAGCCCTGCCAAACGCTCCATCTCGAACCACTCCAGATCCTTACAGTTCCGGAGCTCCGAGATCACAAGAGGCGCAAGGCCGGGCTCTACGACTAGCTGAAGCAGGCCGTTGATGTCAACCTCGGCCATTCCCATTCCGCCATTCACGCGCCGAACGAAATGCAGCAGCTTCAACGCGAGCGGATTGAGGGGCGTGGCATTGCTCTGTCCGGAGATGATTGTTGGCGGCGCGGCATGACTCCCTTCGGGCCGGCTCTCAGGATGGTCACTCGTGTCAGCCGCAGGAGCTCCTGGTTGTGGTTGATGTTCATCTTCAGGAGGCCCCTCGTTCACGTCGTTGGGAGTTTCGTCAACGTGAGCTTCAGGCACGCGTGGAGGACCGCTCACACTGACGGCGTTGGATGCGTTAGACGCTGTAGGCGAACCGGGAGCGGCTGGAGCGTCCGACAGAATGTCGTGGACGAATAGCAGAGCGTGAAGACCGGCGGTCGGTGCAGATCGCGTCGGCCTTGCCACGGCGGATAGTCCTTGGCAAGGGGTCCGCCAAACTTATGACCGCCATAAACTTGGGCGTTGGGGAACCATCTGTTGCAGAACTCGCAGACGACGCCTGGTAAAGAGCCCATGTGTTACGGATCCGTTGTAGAGTCGAGAAATCGCCTATGAAGCTACTAGCCGTGATGAAGCTTGTGAACGCATTAAGTACTCCGTTCAAGAAGCCTGTGACAGCTACACGATCATCGCCAATGCGCGCACTGTGGTGGGCGGCTTGTATCACTGCACGACTGGCACTTGACATTGGCGCTAATGTTTATGACTGGCTAACGATGTCGAGCCGCGTGGTCGTTACCAGGCACGATACAGACCGCCCACCTCACGGGCCGTCTTCACTACAAGGCGTGTCGCCCCCGTTTAGAGTGACCACGACGTGAGCAGAGGAGAATGCGGAGGATCTTAAGTCTCACGGTCGTGTGTGTGCGTCGCGAGCACGGTGAGAAGGACGTGCCTATTGAATCAAGAACTTGTGTTTAGGAACCGTGCGTGAGAGTCGAGGGGGATGAGGAAGAGCGGGAAGAGATCCGTTTGGATCTGTGATTGTGTCGCGAATCGATATAGGGGGGAAATCAGAATCACGTAGGTGAGCTCAAGAGGCTTCAAACAAACATGGAAATGCAAATGTACAATTACAACTTAACAAGACACTCAAGTCATTCATAACTAGTAAACATTCATATCCTTAGGACTGATGTTGAACAACCCTTACTTGATAACGATACGGGAAGTACCCAATAACTCCATGCCCTAACGTATGATTGTTGCGTGGAGCGAATACCTATAGCGTGTCTTCTCTCGAGGTGTAGTGTACCTCTACGCACCGTGCTGAATGAATATGCAAGAATGGATGACAATGTCGTACAATAACACAACGGTTTCAATGTCCATGCAATGTTGGATGACAATGCAACACCATACCACAACGGATTCACCATGTCGCGCAACCGGCAGGCCTGAACGTTGCATCGTCGCACAGTCTAACTATGGCTGTCGATAACGCATCTACGCTTGTGCGTTGGGCCTGTGCTTCATACCACTCCTTCTAAGCACCTTGTTTAATGTCTGTGCAAGAATGGATGCCAATGCAACACCATACCACAACGGATTCACCATGTCGCGCAACCCGCAGGCCTGAACGCTGCATCGTCGCACAGTCTAACCATGGCTGTCGATAACGCATCTACGCTTGTGCGTTGGGCCTGTGCTTCATACAACTCCTTCTAAGCACCTTGTTTAATGTCTGTGCAAGAATGGATGCCAATGCAACACCATACCACAACGGATTCACCATGTCGCGCAACCCGCAGGCCTGAACGCTGCATCGTCGCACAGTCTAACCATGGCTGTCGATAACGCATCTACGCTTGTGCGTTGGGCCTGTGCTTCATACAACTCCTTCTAAGCACCTTGTTTAATGTCTGTGCAATAATGGATGCCAATGCAACACCATACCACAACGGATTCACCATGTCGTGCAACCCGCAGGCCTGAACGCTGCATCGTCGCACAGTCTAACCATGGCTGTCGATAACGCATCTACGCTTGTGCGTTGGGCCTGTGCTTCATACCACTCCTTCTAAGCACCTTGTTTAATGTCTGTGCAAGAATGGATGACAATCCAACACCATACCACAACGGATTCACGTTTGTTACTATTGATAATCGTGTTAGAATGTCGTCCGCTAGCCCTAAACCATTGTGGCAAAGCCTAAAAGTGCACAGTACATCTGTCACAAGTAATAATTTTGGACGGTCGTTGTGTGTGTGACGTAAGAATCACCGATTAACTTACCCCAACCCCGTGGTAAACCATTTGCAACTTAGAGTTTGATGAAATGCATTGTTGTATGTTTGAATAATATTTAATGATTTATGCGTTGGCAACCGTGATTGGCCGACGCATCTCAACGCAACACAGTCATCAGCCAAGAGGTACTTCAGCCATTGAGCGGCTGAGATCGAGCGGTAGGTGGGTTTATGCTAGGGTGGCTACACGTACACCGTCCAATATAGCCTGATAGGGTTACATTACTCTCTCTAGTCTCGCAACCCACACCAACCACCCTCGTGTCCCACCCACCTGCTTCCGTCCGTCCCTGGACCAACACTTAGACGCTGCTCGTTGCCTTGACACACGCCTCTCCAGATCGGCCTTAGCGCGAAGCATAGTGGCTACTATGACAGATTTAGTTGAAGCGGCGGTTTTCGGAAACACATAACAGTGATAGACCGTCGATAATCCCATCGTGGGATTCAGTTGCAGAACCCTTTCGAAACCGGCTCAACCCTTCCGCGCGATTTGCAACTTTGCTCCTCCTACAATTACCATGACACGTGCAACACGTAACCAAGCAATGGAGGAGGAACAGGCCGGCCGCCGCGCGACAAGGAGGACGTCTAAACAGATCGATAGGGAGTGTGGTGGCGGCGCTAAAAAAACTAATGCGTCCGTCGCTCGTGGCATTGGGCAGAAAAAAGCGGCGGCAAAAAAGGTCGCGCGCGGTCAACAGGAGGCCGGCAAGAAAGCGGAAGACAAGGGGCCTAAACCAACGCCACGCAAGCGTGTTTCTACAGTGAACAAAGATGCGGATGTTGCCTCTGCTGGAACCGAGCCCGGTCCGAGTAAAGACGGCACCACTGGCGGCAACGAAGATCCGGGGCGAGGGAGCGCGAGTCTTGCACTCCCGTCGGCGGAGATGGAGGGATCGGCGACGGAGGGAAATCACGGAGGCGATCCCCGCGCCGAGCATGCCGCAACCAAGGAGTCCGAGGCGGCGGCAACGCAACACCATCTGACGCTGCTCCAGCCGACCGTGGTCGAAGTTTCTGCAGCCGTGCTGGATAAGGACAAGGTGGGGGAGCACGAGTCGGTGGGGCTGGTCGGTGGCTCTCCACCTTCTGGTGGACGGGGGAGGCGTAGGCAGAGGAAGAGCGATGGGGAGGACGATTATGACACCGCCGTGCCCGGGGACCTCATTACGCGGGCGAAGAGGCGGCAGACGACAGGTAGTGCTGACGACGCCGGAGGCGCGGCAGTTGGGACACCGCGAGGCGCCAAGGAAGCTAGTGGCAAGGCGGGCGGTCAAGCATTGCGCCAGAAGGGCCGACCCGCAGCAAGAAAAGCATCCGGCGGAAGGAGAGGCAAGAAAGCAGCGACGGGAACAAAGCCGAAACGGGGCGATGAAGACCCCGGTGATGCGGAGGAGGAGGATGAGGAGGAGGATGCGGAGGGAGAGGAGGATGAAGAGGAAGCGGAGGAGGATGACGCGGATGTTGGGGAGGATGAAAAAGATGAGAATGATGGCGGGGAGGACGAAGAGGAGGAGGAGGAGGAGGAGGAGGAGGAGGAGGAGGAGGAGGAGGAGGAGGAGGAGGAGGAGGAGGAGGAGGAGGAGGAGGAGGAGGAGGAGGAGGAGGCAGAGGAGGAGGAGGAGGAGGAGGAGGAGGAGGAGGAGGAGGAGGAGGAGGAGGAGGAGGAGGAGGAGGAGGCAGAGGAGGAGGAGGAGGAGGAGGAGGAGGAGGAGGAGGAGGAGGAGGAGGAGGAGGAGGAGGAGGAGGAGGAGGAGGAGGAGGAGGAGGAGGAGGAGGAGGAGCAGGGTGACGACGAGGAGGAGGATGTGGAGGAGGAGGAGGAGGAGGAGGAGGAGGAGGAGGAGGAGGAGGAGGAGGAGGAGGAGGCAGCGGAGGAGGAGGAGGAGGAGGAGGAGGAGGAGGAGGAGGAGGAGGAGGAGGAGGAGGAGGAGGAGGAGGAGGAGGATGTGGCGCCAGTGAAGGGACGGGGCGGGCGTGGCAGACGGGTGAGTGGTACAGGGAAGGAGGGGGGCCGGACTCGCCCTTCCCGAAAACGCGGGGCAGTTGACGCTGCGCGCGGCGAAGCATCGGGCAAACCGAAGGCGCGTAAGGTGAAGGTCGAAAGTGAAGGGGTTGGTAAAAAGCAAGGGAGCCAGGGAGCAAAAG